TCTACGAGTTTTTATAACGGATTGATGAAATGATAACAAAAATAGTCGGTTAAGCGATATCACACGCGCCACTTTATTTTCTTTGAAAAAACATATCATAGTACCGTTACACAGCTCTTCTCAGGAGCTTCGTATTGGCTTCTCACCTAATTCCGTAAAATTCATATGTTTGCGAAATACTTCCATGTTAGGTGAAATAGATAATTGTACATTATCCTTATCACATCATGGATATAATCAGTGACTGTTTCATTTGTATAAATTATGATGAGTCATGAACAAAAATTCAGCTGCATGCATAGATGACTCAGAAGGTGAAAATACAAGAGCAATAGGAAGAGAGAAAAAACCTATATTAGTTATCAGTTGCAAATAAAATAGCATTACTTTCAATTTAATTTGTCTCAGGAGTACATGATACTTAGCTAAGGCAGCAAAACTTAGTAGTAGCAGTAATTCAGAATCACGTGACAACATCAAAGTCGATAACTGCTGAAATAACCAATCAGATAGATGAGAGTCTCAACCAGTAACGAGAACCTGAGTCAAATTAAGACATATGAAAACTGTAACGACAAAACAGTACAGTTCATATCAAAAACCAATCATGAAACAAAAATGAGCCTCAAGCTTAGGTAAGAATTTTGTAATAAGATACATTCCCAGATGGTAAAAAGTATTTACAGCTCAAAGTGAAGATTTCAGTTGTGCTTTCTCTGAGCTGGATGGCATAACTTTGAAGCTTCCGTTGTCATTCTAGACATTATCAGCACAAAATATTTCAGAAAAAGAAGTGAGGTATGTAGTTTTTCCCACCAGTGGCCTACCAGCTCGCCCTGATGACCTTGGATGTGATTGGTTGTCTCTGTACTATAACGTTGTCATGGTCTGAACACGTATTTCAATTGGTTATACCGCTGACCTGAACTCTGACTTCTTGTTTTTATCCCACGTTTCTTATTGGTTGAGTGTCAGTATGCCTATTATTTGCTGACTAGCCTAAGAACCAAACTTCTAAAAATTCCTTTACATTCCTCGTATTTCCTCTGTCCAAAACTTTCCTTTCTTTCAATCCAATTTATTCCCATAGTTGTCTATATGCGCTGGTATTATTAAAGATACGTCGTGATACTTCACTGCTAGTTATTCTTTTAGACGAAAAAGAAGACAGAGGCCATTCTATCCAATATATTGTTTTTCACACTGAGCAGTTCATCTTATAGATACCATAGGGGTGTCCTCCTTTACAGTTGCATCTTTTTGCCTGAATAACGTGGAGTAAAGAGATTTTGTAGGTTTGTTGACTACAACGATTCCTAAAAGTCTCAGTCACCTGGTGGCAATCTCTAATACCTTCAAGTCAATTCATCTGTTCTTTTCTAAGGACAGCGTTCTTGGTAACGGTGAGTGCAGGTGGAAGCAGTAAGTTGAAGATTGGAACTTATCGTCTTACCGTTGAGTAAGATGGAAGAAAGTAACCGAGACAGTCTTAAACAAGAAGACAAAAGAATATTTTCTCGAACAGTGACAGACTGACGTAACTGCTTCCCAGTGATTGATGATGCTCCCATGAAGACTCGAAGCACGGACCCATCGCTTCCAACGCCGAAGCTTTTTCCGCTAAGCCAGTCGCAATAACCACTGCTTGTGTGTGAATCTAAACAAGCCGTTAAGTCTAAAACTTATACTACATTTGTCAGTCTGCAACGCGTATGATGGTGTCGACGCACTTTTGTCAAGGGAATGGAATCTGAGCTGATATTTACAGGCTAGATTGTCTCCCAGTTGATACTAAAACTAATCTGCGATAATTATGACGTAAATTATATACTGTCTTAAAAGTGTGCATTACATCAGTCTCATTCTTCAGTGACGCCTCTCGCTCGACTTTCTGACCACGGTTTGTCCTCTGTTCCTAAAATAACCCTTGCTATAGAGTCATTCCAGCAGGTATCTAGACTTCAAGTCATCTCATCTAATGTCATTTAAGGCAGGTTCAGTCAAATGTCTAAATGATAGAGCTAGAAAACTTACTAGTCAGTGCAAGGACCTGAAGCACATAAAAGAAGCACTAATAGTTAATAATTATCTTCTACAGTCCATTAAAAAATTCATACGAATACATAACAAATGAAATGTTAACAGTAACACGAGTACGAGTAATAACGACAACACAAGTAGAAAAGAGTTCACAGCCTCCATTGTGTTACTCTATAAGGAAGGAAGGAACATCAGAAACTGTGCATAGGATCTTCAACAAGGCTGGAATTAGGGTGGTATTTAAACCTACACACTCACTCAGAGATAAGCTTTACCGGCTGGCTTAAGGATCCAACAGATGTAATTAAGCAGAATAAACAAATCTATCAAATTCCATGTAATGACTGTGAGGTCAAGTAAATTGGTCAAACTAGTTGGTCGGATTCGGTTAGAATAACAGAACATAGGAATCTAGCTAAATATAGAATGATATACCCTCCCCCCCAATAAGATCAACAATCCAGAATGCAACTCAGCTACTGCAATGTTGTATGCACACACACACAACCACATAATAGAATGGGTGGGATAAAGCCACTGTACCGCTTAAGTCCAATATAATTAGGTAGAGAGAGAGATTGATTAATGAATATTTGTTCATCGAATCAACACCCAACCCAATATATGTAATAAGGATGATGCAACACACCTATACCAGAGATATGGAAAATTTTGCTACCAATTAAAACAACTCATATAAAGTGACATAACTATAAAAATTAAATGTCGAAAGTGGAGTGTGATTAAATTCAGTATGATTATGAGCAATGAGTGATTCATGCTCGAAACGTCATTAAGTAAATAATACTATATCACTGTATGTTATAAATCAAACAAGCAAATCTCTGATATGGAATTAAATTCTACCATAGTGCCCAACCAAGTATTATACTAGTGTTAGTTGTTAGATAAAGTTTTATAACTTAAGTTAGACTTGTCTATTGAAGTTTTATGTCTGTTGCAAAGTCTTGTATCATTTTTACGGAGCATAAATATAGTAAATTTATACAAATAAAACTGTTACATCTAAGGATCCCATTATTTCATAGCTGGATATGTGGATGCTTTTCATGGTCTGCAATAAATTCTATCCAAATTTGAATGACCTTAAAAGCTGCTTCATTAACATCTCGTCAACTTCATTTTGTCACATCAAAAGGTCAAGGAGAAAGAGTCCATCACATTCTATTTGATGCTAATAGTTTTTTTTTTGATAATTTTTCTTCTCTCATCTTGACAGTATATGATTGATTTTTCAGTTATATTTGCTGCTAATGATCATTGAGGCACAAAAGACACTTCTCATCCAACAGGTACCAGTTATTATGACCTAATAATACTTGTAATTTCTCATGGTTACATCGGCTGGGATTGATCGACCTCTGTCAACAGATGGGCTGCAATACGGACGACTTGACATTCATCGTTGTTGTCATGGAGTTAGTCACTATTCCTTAGATTCCTCAAACAAGCCCGAAGTTCCCCGAAAACTTTCACAACTAATCATGGTACTGGTGTTATTGCTTGAATTACACCGTAGTTGATTGCACCGAATTGATCAAGCAATAACACTAAAGCTTTATACCCATCGCACAAGAAGTGGCTATCGTGGCTCGGTGCTGTAGTAGACAATGCTCTCGCGTTTGAAGCGATCGCTCCCAAGTCCGAATCCCGGTGGGAACAACATCACTCACTGGGAGGCAGGTACATCCAGCTGACGAGTCCCAAATAGGACTAAATGCACATCCTAGATTCCGCTACTAGCCATTACCCATCATCGCTATAAATAATCATGGTATGCCGAATATTCATGAGAACCACATTTTCGTACGTGTAAACACTTACACGTACGACCATGTTATAATGCAGAATCGAATTATCAAAATCTTCATAAGTGGCCGTAAGCTTTTAAAGCCTTTTTCAACCAGTCGTTTTCCTTCGGGGTTTCGGAAAAAACACATGAACTAACGTGTAAATATCAAGTTGGCTGAAAAGACGAAAATTCACTCAGATTCAAACCTAGAAAGGCCTGGAAATATCCAAGGATATTTTTAAATGCATATAAACCCTTATATTCTGGATGTATTTTTGACATGACAATACACCTTTGCCCAGTTATCGAGAAAACTGAACAACCATCAATGGACTGAGTCTCAAGGTTATAAAAGTGAGTTTCAGAATGTCTAATTGTCTTTCTGGAGAGAGTCACTTTTTGTACACATTCGACTTGAAAATAAACCTATTATTGTTTTTACCTCATCCTTCTATCTATCTAACACAGGATATATCAGTTGTTGTTTACTTGGTATGTAGCATTAGAATCGAGAACATACGTTCTGTCCTATTTGTAATTCGTCCACTAGGCGAACTCCAGCTAGTGATAGAGTTCCCGGTGATGACTCCCGGACAGAACGAAACGTACGTCCTGGATTCCACTGCTATGCACCAAGAAGTAAATGCTCAGCATAAAAGAATATTCAGACAGGATCCAGCTATACGCATAGGAGCCATCTACCTACAGATGTCGACCGATTCAATCCAGTATAACAACAGAATTTTAAAAGTATGCATAAGTAATAGTTCTTAATCATATCCATTTCATTTAAGTTTCTTACCTACCTCGTTTCATAGAGTTGGCAGTCACCTGTTTTGTCGCCTAACATTTATTCACCTATATGGGAAGAATCCTGAATAACTATTAGCTGGTCATGAAATACTTCAGTACAGCATGATCAATAAATGATACTCTAATCACTTGTTTCTCGTCATCACTTTATTTCGTTAGAAGCACATAAGATATACACAAAATACAAAACATAACAAAAGGTCCACAGAAAGATATCCAGTTATTTCTAAGAGTACAGTGTACAAAAGACCAAAACAAAAACAATCAATGTTGAACAGGAATTGTTGTTATTATCTGTACAAGTAAAACGACATCTATCATGACACATCGATTATTATTCATCCTTTTCAACATCCTTCGGTTCAGCATCCCATAACCAAACGAAATCACCACCCGAAGTAAGCAATTTACTCTCTTTTGGATGTGCTGATACGGAATGAATCATAAAGCTGACTGATTTAGCCGTCTCAATAATCAATTCAGCAACTGGATCTGGATTATGCGGAGACAGGACACCCCAGGCGCTTCCACCAGGTTGATGGTCAAGTGTATGAATCGGTGCACCAGAACGTATAAAATCCCATATGAAAACAAGACCGTCTCTTTCCGATCCACTAACTATATGATGATCTAAATTCATCATTATACTGTCCATCCTATAGGGATATAGATGAAAAATAATACAAATACACACATAGGAAATGTACAACCTAAACATAAAACAAAAGAAAGTCAAGCCCATAGCTTGGTATGCGTAGTACATGCCAAGCCATTTTAGTCTCTGACGATTCACAACCTCATCCATTGACTTGCCTGTCTTGCCTAGTACCCTTCGCTTGACTTCAACGTTGCTCATACGGTGATTCTACTACACGTAATTGAAACCATGTAACCACTTCATGTCCTCCAAGAGGTGAATTATTCCCGGAATAGTCTAGTGGTAACGTATCCGGCTATAGCATCGGGTCATTCAAGTTCAAATCTCTCTCATTTCCTTAGAGGTAGTAGTTACGCCTTGCTACTAATGAGTGTCAACAAGAAATAAACCTAGGTCGACAGTTTCAGCTGACTGTCTTCAACCAAATGATGTAGTACCAATTTCTGAAGAGATGAACTCCCGTCAAAATTGATACGAAATGTATCCCCTTTCCTAAAATCTGGCAACTGGTTTATGAAAGTGCTCAGTGTATGCTTTGGTAGGGCATCTGCAAGGAATATAACAACGTCTAAACTGATATCGAGAATATTGTTTTTCAGAAACCCAACTTAACAGCAAAATAAAAACACTGCAACCTAAGGAACAAATATTTACTACTAGCATATTAACATCTGGCTACTGTCACGCTCTTAACACCACCCCTGTATCATTGTAACATACATACGACACACAGTCCTAGTTAATGGATCCGAGCTAGCGAGTTGAGGCATTTGTAAACTTTTATTGAATAAACCAGCCTACGCATGTGTTATATTTTGTAAACCTCTTATCTTTCTGGATGCTCTGACTTAGTTGGAGTAGGGATTGGTGAAGAAGAAGCTAAGGATGACCAGGTTCGTACATGCTATGCATCTTTGAAGTTTCAAACTATTGGCCTGATTGAGTACTTAAAGGAAGTGTATACTTTTAGATTGAAGTCAGGAGAGAGAGGGAGAGGCAAACGGGATTAAGAGTTGAAGACTGTCTAGGTGATATGATTGAAAATCGCTTCTTAATGTCAATCTACTCTTGTTATCCACTTCCTCGTATGCCTACATACACACAACTTTTGATCACATCACTTTCATTTTCTGCATTTCACCTTCCTGTCTTGTGTATCTTGACTTGATGATATAGGGTATGGGAACTTGAACTGATACCCAACAATTCAAGGTCTCATGTTCATTATTTCACTATATTCATATGTTCACATTGACTGATATCAATACTTACTGCTTCTAATTGAAAACGATCCATCAGACCCAGGCAAAATGTTTGTACTTGCCTAAGAATAAATTTCATATCATAACTGTGTTACAACCAGGTGCGTAAATAAAATGACCATATTAATAACCAACTATACTTGTAGCATAGGTCAGTAATTGCAACTTTAAAGATTACTGTAAGAGTAGATGAGAGTGTGACCTTCAATTTATTCCTAAAAATCTATTGGCTATCTAGCAATCTTCATATTACCTTTGACTGACTTACTATTGGGTTATGTGAAGGTCACACTACAATTTTCGTGTCTCAGTGATACTTTTATACTTGTCTCATTGTTCATCTTGCCATCATCCTGGTTGTTGAATTTGGATATGCACATTGTCAGTAGCCTAGGAGTTCGGTCTTTTAATTTCATTCAGCTTGACTCTAAGATAGTGAGTCGCACTTATCAAAGTTGACACACTAAAGCACTAATTCGACCACCCAGTGTGGAGTGCAGTTTCGGGGAGACTTTATAGGCCGCCAAGACAATTGTTGCAACAATCAATCAGTTTTTGGCATTCCAGCTAGAAAGGCTGTTTTTCATAAATAATTGGTTATCTCAGAAGTTGCTAGGGTGACCTTTAAAGTCCCCCATATCAACTGTCCATTTTTGAGGTTGTGGTTCAGGTATTTAGGTCAGTCCTATTTCAAACAGTCTGTCAGAAAGAACTTCCAAATAAGCAACTTTAGAGGTCACCCTAACAACTGCTGAAACAACCAATTATACCTCTACATTTTATGGAACTACCTTTCTTGCCGGAATACCGAAACTTGATTGGTTATTACAGCAGTTGGTAGGGTGGCCTTTAAATTCGCCCCTTTCAAATACACTCTGCCTGCGAAGATAGTGTAGTGAGATTGAATTTCACGCAGAAGGCGTGAGTTATAGCTTAACAAATAAACCTGTGTGTATTTGCAATGACTTTCATGGATGCCCTAACAGGTGATGAGATAACCAATTACGTTTCTCTATCTTATGAAAAACTAACATCCTCGCGGAATTACCGAAATCTGATTGGCTTTTTCAGCAGAAGAGAAGAATAGAAGCCTAAACACAGCAATAAACTAAAAACAGCAGGCTAAGTCAGCACTCTTGAACTCATTGCATCCTACCTACTAGGCTGTTAAACTCCGCCACCATTCAAGCACCCACACATCACACACACACCCCTAAACTCCCCACGTTGGTGTCTGCTGACTCATAAGTCACTTTACCTCTCAGAAGGGTCTCCAGCAACATCATCGCAGCAACGCCTTCGAAATCTCGCAAGAATATCCCAATATCTACTACATCAAAAGTCTCAAGCCAAGGTTTCTTCATCTCGAAGGCAGTCAGTCACACCAATTCAAAATTCCAATATACGGTTGATATTGTTAATTGAGGGAAACACAACTGATGCTGAAATTTCTATACCTAACCACAATTTGATCATTTCCAAATTATATTCTGTTCTGCATGATATTACGCTCTTTTGTGCTTCGTATTGCCAAGCTATATTGTAAGTTCCCCTTCCTGGTTCCTCACCCGTCCATCGTTATCACTATCCACGCCGCTATATATATACTACTTATATCCATCCTTATCAGTAGTTCTCACTGCAATAGGACATATATTTAAATGACTGTTACCTTTCGATGGTGAGGTGCGGAATGGCGGATAGAATGACAGTTTATAAGAGTCAGGACAAAATACAACTACTTTCAGTTGAAACTCCTCAAGATATGAGAAACACAATGCACCAAATTATGGCTGCCCAAGTTCCTAACTCTGGTATTATCCGTCTATTCATTCAATCATTCAAGAAATGCGTCACTTGGTTATCTGCATCATACGGCTTTGGTTCTATGCTTTAGCCAAAAAAAATTATTCAGATATGCATTCTATTCATTATATCCTCTGGAATAAACACCTCCTTGAAATAATTCACTTAACTGTATAAACAACTATTCTTCAACGTTCTCCTGCTTGAGTAAATGTAAGTTTTCTACTAATATAATATATACTGCTTATATGAACTAGATACATTTAAGTAATATGTGACATGACATCCCTACGAAAAGTAAACAGAATTAACATCATTTAAGCAGTGGAGATTTTCAAAGAGGAAATGAGAAACACACGATGGAAATACAGACAAAGCAAGCAAAGAAGCAACAGAAATTGAAGACCAATTCATCTCGGAGGTAGGATCTCAAGATAGTTTGTAAGTTTTCATATTTTACGATGACTCTGTGTACTTTCATAATAAACAGTTCCTTGTCAGTGTTGTTAATACACTACGTCAAACGATTCCATTAATTTCAAGAGGATTTTCTTCATAGACTGATATCAACCAGAGAACAACAGAAAACTCCGCCTTAGCTCAAATCTAAGGCAGTTAAACTTCACGGCTTGTATATTTCCCACCACTCAGTCATTCAAATGCAATCTGATGGTTTGTGGTTTTTATTCAAATCAAAACTGAATAAAGTTATCTTGATCATTAGAAACTGAGGATTGAACAATAAACTGTCTGTTGTCTGAAAAAGAATAGTGAATATCTCCAGGATTATAACATCGACAGATTCGAAATAGATTGACGGTGAACTTGAGAGCAACAGACACAGACTAATAAGTCATAGGTTCGAATCTTTCTCTCCGTTAATCGTGGCACAAATCCCGATATACTTTCAAACTCCACCGCCATGAATGAATAAACAATAAAACCATTGTAAAACTACAACTCACTCCCATGTGCATAGAGACAAATACGCACACATGCAGAATAGAATGAGATGAACATGCACAATATAAAAGCTTTTTATTACTTGTATGTTTGATTAGTATGTCCAGTGTATCTGCTCAACAGTTCACCAGTCAATGCATCGAATAAACGTAAAGTAGAATCTTGTGTACCAACCAGAAAGCATTGACAATCCATTGTAATTGAAACTGATGTAATTGGATAGCCTACATAGTCTTCAATCATTTCACCTTCGTTACGTTGAAATGTTTCAACAAAGGATGAGTATACAGATAATAATACATAGCAAAATAATGAGCTGTTTTTGGTGAAAAAGACAAAAGGATTACTCCTTACATGCTAAATCATATGTGAAAAATCTATCACATTTGAAACACATTCACTTCCTGTACATGACTAGCCGTTTCATCAGTAGCTTATCACATTCTCTAACCTTTACACAAGGAACGAATATTTACTACTAGCATATTAACATCTGGCTACTGTCACCTCTTAACACTACCCCTGTATCATTGTACCACATACATACGGAACACACAGTCCTAGTTAATGGATCCGAGCTAGCGAGTTGAGGCATTTGTAAACTTTCATTGAATAAACCAGCCTACGCATGTGTTATGTTTTGTGAAGCCCTCATCTTTCTGGATGTTCTGACTTAGTTGGAGTAGGGATTGGTTAAGAAGAAGCTAAGGATGACCAGGTTCGTACATGCTATGCATCTTTGAAGTTTCAAACTATTGGCCTGATTGAGTAGTTAAAGGAAATGTATACTTTTAGATTGAAGTCAGAGAGAGACAACCGGGATTAAGACAATTATATTTCAATGGATTACTCCTTACATGCTAAGTCATATGTGAAAAATCATTCACATTTGAAGCACATTCACTTCCTGTACATGACTACCCATTTCATCAGTAGCTTATCACTATTCTCTAACCTTTACACAAACAGCTAGTGAAACAGAGCGAAAAATGTTTGACTTTATAGACAGAAGTGAGGATGCTAACATCATGAATAAGACTATGATGTCACTGGGTGTCATATCTCTATTCACCATTGTTTCTTCTGTTGAGACGGTTAACTATATCGGTGAACAGTTTGGAACAAAAGTTTATTAATATTGGTACCTCGATAAACATCCTCAAAGAATTGTCGCTCAAATGAGTGATGAATGTTAATTTTAAATTGAACGGTGAACCGTAGACAAGTGAATGGAGTCACTACTGGGGTCCGATATTAGCGGACCTTCTATCGAAGCTGGAGAATAGTTTAATTGAACAATATACCAGAAAATTTTGATTTGACTGGCGATATATGGATGACACCTTCATCCTGTGCGAAAGCAATATAGACAGGTCAAAGGCATTCAGCAAATTCAATGCAATACAACGAGTGATGAAGTTTACATATGAGGAATTAGAAGGCAAAATAAATTTCCTCGATGTTCTTCTGTCAAGACGAACAGATGCGTCGATAAAATGAGGAATTTGTTTAGGAAACGTATGTGGACGCGGTAGTATATACATTTTCTCAGCTTCATCTGCCTTCATTACAAAGGGAATTTAGTAAAAACTTCGCCAGATATTCATTCAAAACCAACACAGATCAATTCAGTGAACATTTAATCCCAGTAAATTACAAATTACGTTCTCTACACCCCCGATGGTGACACGAGACAGGAAGATGAAATGCCTAGATTGGTCAATTGCTATTGTATTTATCAGCTTGACTGCGCTAGGAATTTAATTTTCTATACTCACGAACACCTCCAAGTTTAGTTAAATACAGGGATGGTTAAGACCATCACTAGCACACGGTTGAAACGAAACATAGAGTGGATGTGAAATAAGTCGTTTTCCATTCTGCACCAGATTCTCATCAACTTGCCAAAATGCACCTGACTCCGAATACTTCAGACGCCAGAAAGTGGTGGCAATCAGGGATCAGACAATCGCAGTTATGCGTTTCAACAGAAAACAAGCATCGCCGCTACAACTATCATGACCCCATTCGGGGTGTGTAGATTCCGTCTCAGGTAATCTAATTTTCTAATTCCACACTGTAAAGATCCCTTCATCTCTATAATCGAAAATACTTTTAACAAATTCTCTGAACCTATTTTCTCCTCTAATATGAGTAACATTCTATCAAGTTATTATTCCTCAAATTATCTTTCTTAGTTTATTTTATCCAGCTCTCTCTCTCCCATTACTTTACTAAACTATTAGCTTATAGCATTACCTACGCCGTATAGTCGTTCAGATAATCAATTATTATTTTGGATTGAATTCCAGTAACCGTTGATGCTATTCCTTAACGTCTACACATAACTCTCCTGAACTGACTTCCTCAACTGCATAGTGGATATTATTCACAAACTGATAAAGCAAAATCTCATTTCTGTGGACCCATAGTTACTCAATATGTACACGTGACCGTAGAACCTGAAAAAGATGTTGCCAAGATGAATATTCTTTGTTTAGCCAAATGACTTTTGAATTATGAGAATTTTTAATGACATAATACTTGAAGGGGTTATCTATTTGTAAGATGATACTCACACCTGAATGATGCAACTTATGTGTCTTCAGATTTCTGACATTTTATATCTCAACTGAACTTCTTAACGATTATTTTCACCAGCATTTCGATGAATAGAAGGATACTTCACTTCCCCGTGGTATTGAAACGTCTACCAGCCTAAGGGGTTCAGTTTACACATTTGTATCCGAGACTACAAGCAATCTTCATCATTTCTACCTTACAAGATTTACTAGGTAGTCATCACATGAACTTGCTGCTTAGTTAAGAGGGGATTTCTTCAAATTGAATTGGTTACGAACAGTTAAGTGGAAGTGAAGTGATTTTCTTCAGTGGATGTATAGTTCATCCATGTGTGATCACTCGACTTTCAAGCAATGGTCCCTGGCTTCGAACCCCGATCTATCAACTTTGGTCTAAGCAACAGGGTAGTGTTAGCAAATACACCTGTATGGGGTTGAGTTTCGTTGGTGAAATTTTAGAAATACGTGATCAGTCTCCGAAGTGGGGATCGAGTATCTGAATAATTCACCTACAAATCCTCCAATCACTTTTATTTCACACTGTGATGGGCATGTTATTCAGGTGTATAAACACAGCAGCTATAAGCTAGAGAAGGATTCACGTGTTCAAGCCATTCACTGACTCATATGCATGCGAAAGCAAAGTCAAGTGCAGCTCTATATACGGACAGTCAGGTGTAAACAGTGACAGCACTAAGGTCATATATTCATAGCTGTCACCATCAAACGACTTTAAAGGCCACCTTAGCAACAACTGAAATAACCAATCAGTCTTTGGTATTTTGCCTGGAAAAGTACTTTTCCATAAAATAAAGGAACGTAATCGGTTGTCTCGTCAGTTGCTAGGGTGGCCATTAAAGTTACCCGTCATCACCACTCAACCAAATGGTTGAAGTATATTAGTTTATTGACATTATGTAGAACATTAACATTTCAAAATGATTTATTATTTCAAGTTTTTTACCGAAAAAAATGCATCCCTTTTACTAACCTCGTCGAATATCATAAGTTCGTACGCATCGATCAACAGAACCAGTGACAATTTGATTTCGACGAAATGCACAACAAGTAACACTGTCACGTGCTTCATGCATAGTCTACAAAATAAATCATTAAATGAATGAAGAAGTAGTTCTGATAAGAAGAAAAGCAATGCTTGATTCCTGGAGTCCACTTTATTGTTTACTTAGAGGGAAAGGGTAAAGTTTGTGTGATGTCCGACTGCGTGTTAAACCACCAAATTGTACTATGTGATATCAGATGCGAACTCAATACAGTCTGTACTTCATTTAACAACGTCATGTCATAACCTAACTAAATTTTGATCTACCAAACGTTTACTACTGATTATATTACATCAAATCACTCCTTTTGAAATTGTCTTAATGATTCAAATATTGTTTTCAATAGAATAATAGTCTGTTGGCCTTGAGTGAACACTGAATGACCTTGAGACAAGCAACGCGTTCAAGGAAAATATGCAGTTGTTCTCTAGGATTTTTATTCTAGAAAGAATATTACTGATTTATAGACACGCTTATGGAGAATCACAATGACGAAACAACAGTCACATATTCAACGGATAATAGGCTATCAAAGAGCAGTACAAGGTGTGATGGGATCATGCTGCAACCTTCATGCCGTTCTAAAGGAGATGAAGATCATGTTGTAGGCACAAATCTATTCACACTGGTTTTTTCTCTCCGCGAAATTTAACTTATCACTGCGAAAAATTATGTTATTCTCTGTCATACAATGGATAACTGGTACACCAGTTACAAGAACAGTCATGTTGATGAGTGTGACAGAGATGACAGTTGTACAATGGTATCAGCATTTTAGGGAAACTTTTCCTCAAACTCTGCAAAATGACAATAGGTAACACAGTCAATGTAGATGTAAGAGTGGTAAGGAAGAAGAAATACAGTAGCGGCAGAAATTTAAAAAAAGAATAGATAAGTTGCTTGTTCCCTTTGTACCTACAAGGTTTTAGAATTTAGAATAGGACATCAGGGAAATGAATTTTCAGAAGGTGGAGAAGCACAAGGTTACAGCATCAATTCCAGTTATAAGGAAATTAATTCTCTCGGGAACTACTGCTGCTTACATCAATGATCAGAAAACATACAGACTTCTCAGAGGGTTGTGGATACGAACACTAACATCATCGTCTAGGAAAACCATTTCGTACAACCTTCAACAAAAGTTCATACTAATAATGTAATGCGGATTCGTCAGAAGGTTTATTTACGCCAATACTACGGCTCATATGGATTAATGCTCTGGAATTATATAAAGGAACTCCTTTATCGTGCCTACTTCTACTTAAAACCATATGAACTAGTCTAAAACCTCATTTCTTCATCAAGAAATCATAGAACAAGCATCCGTATTTATATTCGTGCCTTTAAGGTCATGCGATAGTCGCTCGCAAACGGCAAGATGTTATAGTTCTGTCATGTCTTCAAATCGTTCTTTGTGCTCCTGTGGATTCATTATCAAACTGTTTCCAACTTACCGTTTTACAAGATATCAATGAAATCAAGATAAACTATAATTCAATTTGGAGGTTCGTGGGGATTTATGTATTGATTTCAGGTTGGTATTTATCATGGACTGACATCAACTGAAGAAACACTGGAAACCTGGAAGCACTGAATGCTGTTCGTCCTAGTATGGGACACCTCAGCACTGCGCACTCATGACCCCACCCTGTCAAGGAGTGAATCAGGACCCTCAGATTCCGCGGCCAGCACGTTACCACGAACCAATCCAATGGTCGGCATTTCCTCCTTCTATCGGTTCACGATATAACGCAACCTCCATCCAATGCTGTTGTTGGTAACTATCATCACGTCCAAAATGCCTGGCCCCACTAGTCACGACTTATCATTAGAACTTCGGGAATCACCTCTCAAAGCAAGTGACCGATGAGAACTGCTGAGGAGTCCCATACTAGAAGGAAACAGCTGCACAATGCTCCCAAGTTTCCAAAGTTTCTCCAGCTGATGTTAATCCATGGCAAATACCTACCTGAAGTCAAAAAACCATCATATGGGGGATGGGTAGCAATGGACCTCTAAAGGTATAACAAATCATCTAAGTATTCCACCAAACTGAAATATTCTTGAAGAGTTAGCTCAACTGTAGATTCTCATATTAGTTGAATAATATACCTCTACCACCACACCTATGCATGCTTTTCGATTCTTCGCCCTTCCCACTCTCTGAAATAACAAACCCAAAGACTAAACGATAACTGAACAACAGTTGGTCGTAAAATTTACTGAGAGGTTCTACGTTGATTCTGTATATCTATCTATACAAAATTATCACCAAGAATGCATAATACTCACCTCTATGAGGACGAAGAAGTGCAACCACGTGCATGTTTGTGCAGTAGCCAATAAATTACACCTACTGTGTATAAGGGTTATTCACAATGGAAAGCTCAGTGATGCATTTGAAGTGAAGACAAGAGCAAGACAACGCTGCTGGCTACTATCACCGATGATCTTCCTCACCGTGGTCGACTCCACCGAACTATGCAACAAATTGTGAAGAGCGAGAAGAGGGGCATATGATGGCCAACCCAGGAGAAGACCCTAGAAGATTTGAACCTCACCGGTAGTGTTTTATGTCTTGTCGCACAAACTCCAAGATCTACAGGAAAAAACTAGGACGTTGGCACAAGAGACAGGGCAGCGAACGAAGACGGAGTCATGAAGATACTCAAACAACAACAACAACAAAACAAAAAGCAACAATCACCACCAACAGGAGAAATCTAAAGGAAGTCGTCTCCTTCACTAACACCTACCTACCAACCAAGGCAGCATCATTTCAACTACAGGCGGCACAGGCACAGATGAAAACGTCAAAGCTAGGATCGGAAAGACACCAAGACACGCCTTCCTGCATTAATCTGAAACCAATCAGTATGGAAATCTACTGCACTCCACTCCACTCCACTCAGCATAAAGCGTAAACAAGATCCGGATTTTCAACACTAATTCAGCCAAGTCAGTCAGTGCTTCTATGTGGTGGTTGGTAGACTTGGCGGCGCGTTACGAAAACCATTTAGAAAAAACTACAGACATACACCACATCAACAGCTGCCGCCACCGCTCACTCGGTACTGAAGATCAGATGGGCAGAATAGAATAATAAGAATAAGCAAAAAGGAACTGTGGCTGGCTGGCTGGCTGGTTAGCTGGCAACGAACCAACCAACCAACAATCTATCGCCCAACAAATATGCAGTAGAAGAAAGTGGAGATGGATTGGATTGGGCATACACTGAGAAGACTGATTGGAGACATCACCTACCAGGCCTTTGAGTGGAATCCAAATGGGAAACGACGAGTTGAGAATCCTAGGCGAAGGTGACATGGAGGAGATCATGTGAGGAAGAAATGAAGACTTCTGGGCAGTGATGGAGACGATTTCAAAAAAGCGGAGAGAAGAGAGTGAAATGGTGACATGCTACTACTGAATCCGTATGTTCTACTAGGAACCCAAGGAACAAATAACAATAAGAAGAAGAAAGTATAAGGGTTAATTATGATACTTTCTGGCTTTCCAAACATCGGTAGGTGGAGCAGGGTTCGAACTTGCAACCCCTTGGTTGAAAGTCATCTCTCTCAACCAATGACCCATAGCTCCATTCACTTTCATAACCAAACGTAACAGAGTTGTACTTCACTGGTCTATGCACTCAACTTTCAAGCAATAGGATCTTGAGTCCGAACCTCGTTCCACTATAAGGTTAAACTCGCTGCCCAATGCATGAATATGGTAGTGTTTGCTGAAAGAGTTGTATTCTTCAAAATGAACCACACTACTCATCATCCAGGAAACAACATAAATCACATCGGAATGTAAACAAAACAGATAATTATACAAAGTGAAGTTCAGTAAAACTGAAGGAAGAAGTGGTGTGATTATTCTTATGTAAAAATAATCTGGTATTCATATAAATCCATTCATGGAATAACCTTCAATTTACTGGATATTCAGTGTATGAAGTTCCACTTTACTTTGAAGTAATACAACAGAGATCTGCTAGACGATAATTGCAAGTCAAATTTATTTACCTGAACTGGATAAGGAGTTCGTGCTCTAGCATCCCAGACTAAAACCATTCCATCAACACCAGTTGATAATAAAATTGGACTAGGATCTAATGCATCAGAGTTAAGAAAGGGTGCAATGAATAGAACAGAATTTACACGTCCAGCATGTCGACGCCATCGACGAATAGATTGTCCTGTAGCAACATCCCATAACATAACTAGACAGTCTGCTCCACCAGAACCAAGTTGACTATTATCTTTACCTGCCTGTTTGTTTTTTTAAAGTATAAAAATTGAAAGGTGGAAAAAAAAGAAGATTAGTAATCATTATAAAATTAAAAAAAACAGATAAACACTTTTTAAAATATACATTTTGTTCACAATATTATGATTTGAAACTGCTACAGTCGCTATTGATCGATACACGGACATATACCATCAACTACCAACATTCAACAACTTCCTAGTTGATTGCTGATCCGACTAATTAATGGGAAAGACACAATGAACGCAAAGGTATGTGTATTTAGGAATACTGGGTGACGATTGAAGGTGAAGTGAAAATTTGGACCACGAACGCGGATTCGAACCAGCGACCACTGGGTTCCCAGCCTGATGGTCTATCAGGTGAGCTACGAGGTCCGACTACTTACCAGATCTTTATTTCACTTTAACCAATCACCAAGGGTTTTACCCGACTGCCAAAGACAATTAACAAAGAAGATATATATATATATATATATACTTCGGGGTTTACAATAATGATACTGATTGGATGATCGATAGTCTGTCTGTCTAATTATAGACGTGATTAACATTTTGATTGATCCACTTCCAGATCAGTCTTTTATTTCTCAACCTCCACAAGCTGACACTAATTAGAAAACAAAAAGAAACTGGACAATTGTTTCGTACTAATTTGATCTTCCTCAGTGGTGCATATCCACCAACCCATTCAAGATCAGGTTCAGGTCTCATTAACACGAGTGTTGGAACAATTTTTAAAATGAGGTCGATTCACGCTATGGTACAACTACTCTTGACTGTCATCACTGGGCATCCCCATCTTCACTTTCAAATTGATTGATCCTATAGGTTAAAAAGCGTCTTTCCACAACGCGATATAATTTGAGTTGTTCTGACTAACGAACGTGTTAAACAGTTGTCAAGACACCTAGGGTCTTACAATAGAACAATATTAGTATTCAGAAACTACTCACGCTGAAACTGAGATTTCATTAGCAAAACCAGTCCAAAGTTTCTTGTTGATTATCTCCAGTCGTTCAGCTGCATATATAGTGTGTATTGAGATGTGAAATCAACATGTATTAGGTGCAACTTAAGTGTAATTAGAAAAAATTAGTCTAGTTCAAGAATGTGGATAACATGATTAGATAACCGAGATTATCTGAAAAATGTGATGCATATTTTCGTTATACATTTTGAACAATCTGATCAGACATTTGAAGGGAGAATATTTTTGACAAATAAAAGGTGTGGCCATAGGAAGTCCCCTAAGACCATTGCTAGGTAATGTTTACATGTTATATATTAGAGGCTTGACCAGTGATCCCATCAGTAATGTCATTCTCTATAAGAGATATGTTGATGATATAATTGTGATATGTAACAAGTATGAAGATATGACTTTTTTGCTAGAAAGACTTAACACTGTACAAAACAACATAAACTTAATATGTTAAGAAGAGAAAGACAACCATCTGTTGTCCTTAGATATACTCCTGAGTCGTTAGAGAGACGGTTCAATAAAACGGTCGATTTATATGAAACCTACTACAATAGATCAGTATTTAAGTTCCCATAACTTTTGTCTAACTCAATACAACCGAGATTGATAAAATATCTATTTAAAAGAATCCAGCCTATCTGTAGAGAGAACTCGATGGATGAAGACATTAAAATTCCTATGGAAAAATTAGTGGAAAATGGATATGCATTGAAGTTCATTAATCATTGCAGAAATCAGTCAGTGTTGAAATCCATTGTGTTCTGAAGAAATACGTTTACATCCCGTCACCATACACAAAGGGGAATCATCTTACAGCGTAATTTTTAAATGAAGGTTAATGGCTGCTATCAGCAAAGCATACTATACAGATAAGCTTACCATAGTTGAGGAAATAAAACACAATATAGACCTTATCATTGCCTAAACGATTGCGTCACATCCCACTGCATGTGTATCCACACACATGCATAGGGAAGAATAATCGAGATGTGCACTTGAGGATGAGAAAACGTACCAAAACTGCCTTCAAAAAAAACAGCTGGATTCATAAATATGTGAAAGCACAGATGGTGGCAGACAACCGTCATCGTTCATTGAGAAGGATATTAAGTGATAAAGGTTACAAGATTGATATTGAAACAGCCTTAACAATGTTGTAAAAAACTATCACGGCCGTACACTCGGGTTTGTTGTATCGCTGTCCATACAAAAATCTAATCTCCTTACGCTGAAACCTACCCAAATAACGTTTGTCTTACTTTCATATTACTATTATTTGTTCCTTGGGTTCTTAGTAGAACATACGGATTCAGTAGTAGCATGTCACCATTTCACTCTCTTCTCTCCACTTTTTTGAAATCGCCTCCATCACTGCCCAGAAGTCTTCATTTCTTCCTCACATGATCTCCTCCATGTCACCCTCGCCTAGGATTCTCAACTCGTCGTTTCCCATTTGGATTCCACTCAAAGGCCTAGTAGGTGATGTCTCCAATCGGTCTTCTCAGTGTATGCCCAATCCAATCCATCTCCACTTTCTTCTACTGCATATTTGTTGGGCGATAGATTGTTGGTTGGTTGGTTCGTTGCCAGCCAGCCAGCCAGCCACAGTTCCTTTTTGCTTATTCTTATTATTCTATTCTGCCCATCTGATCTTCAGTACCGAGTGAGCGGTGGCGGCAGCTGTTGATGTGGTGTATGTCTGTAGTTTTTTCTAAATGGTTTTCGTAACGCGCCGCCAAGTCTACCAACCACCACATAGAAGCACTGACTGACTTGGCTGAGATTAGTGTTGAAAATCCGGATCTTGTTTACGCTTTATGCTGAGTGGAGTGGAGTGGAGTGCAGTAGATTTCCACACTGATTGGTTTCAGATTAATTCAGGAAGGCGTGTCTTGGTGTCTTTCCGATCCTAGCTTTGACGTTTTCATCTGCGCCTGTGCCTCCTGTAGTTGAAATGATGCTGCCTTGGGTAGGTAGGTAGGTAGGTAGTAGTAGTAGGTAGTAGGTAGGTAGGTAGGTAGGTAGGTATAGGTAGTAGGTATAGGTAGGTAGTAGGTAGGTAGGTGTAGGTAGGTAGGTAGTAGGTATAGGTAGGTAGGTAGGTAGGTAGGTAGGTAGGTAGGTAGGTAGGTAGGTAGGTAGGTAGGTAGGTAGGTAGGTAGGTAGGTAGGTAGGTAGGTAGGTAGGTAGGTAGGTAGGTAGGTAGGTAGGTAGGTAGGTAGGTAGGTAGGTAGGTAGGTAGGTAGGTAGGTAGGTAGGTAGGTAGGTAGGTAGGTAGGTAGGTAGGTAGGTAGGTAGGTAGGTAGGTAGGTAGGTAGGTAGGTAGGTAGGTAGGTAGGTGAAGGAGACGACTTCCTTTAGATTTCTCCTGTTGGTGGTGATTGGTGCCTTTTGTTGTTGTTGTTTGAGTATCTTCATGACCTCCGTCTTCTCTGCGTTCACCTGAAGGAAGTCCCGTTTTTGCTTCCTTTTGTGTTACTATTTATGTCATATTTATGCTTCCCCCACTTCAAGTTTTCATATTCAATGCCTTGTGACAGGTAGATGTGTGATCAGATTGTTCGAAATGTATAGCGTAAATATGCATCAAACAACTTTCAGATATCCTACGTCTTCTAATTACTATGTTGTCCACCTTTATGGTTGATTAGTTCGATATAGATTACTAATCACTCTGTGACAGATGATACAGATATACTCATTTCCCTTCATTCAAAATTCATGTACATAACACATAAATAGTGGATGTAAACAATGGAAGTTGGTTTATCTAGTAAGACCTGATGAGATATTAAAGTATTTTCTGTAGAAATATATCTGTGGCTGAGAATTTAGCATGAAGATGAAAAATACTCTTGGTCTCATTAATGCAAGTATGGTAACAATTTTGGAACAGTGTGTCTCACGGCAGTGCATAGTACAATTAACAGTTCAACGCTTTTTGTATGCCTTCCTTGTCCTGTTACATGGCTGTGAAACATAGTCGTGAAAAGTAGAAGACATGAAGCAGTTATAGGGTTTTGATCATAGGTATCTTTGTAGCATTGCTCGCGTTTGCTGGAATAGCCATATGAGTAATGTCAAGGTTAGGTGAAGGCAAGTCAATTAATGAGGTTGTGAATCTCACTCGAATCAGATGGCTTGGACATGCACTGTGAATGCTTTGACGTGTGATGCTAGGGGAAATTGGATAAGGTTGGAAGAGAGTTCAGAGTGGCGTGATTAAGACGTGGTAACAATCGATAAAGTTTCTTAAGATTGGTCTGAGTTGTGTGGGGAGATGTCGAATACCACTGATTGAGGACTCTTGGTGAGAGGGCTGAAAATCGGTCACAATAGCGCAGATGTATTCTGACTGACTGATAAAATCAACGCAGAACCACGTACATAAGTGCATTGTTTCAACTAGCCATACTGCACAATAGTACACAAAGAACAAGAGGATAGAAAAATAGTAATATCAAAATAGTGTGAGAATAAACAATTTGAAGATAAAAGTTAGTATGAATACTCAGGCTTTAAGAGATATTAATGAGTGAACATATCTGTGGAATTGTCACCAATTTTTAAGCATGTCAACAAGAGTTTTCAAACACTGATTCCTTTCGTCTCGGTGACCAGAGTCAGGAACTTCCTAGACTGGTACCACTTCTCGACCTCACCACTCGGAACCATCTTCTAACCCAATCCAACTTCCCATAGTATAGCACATCGAGGTATGCAGTGCTTCGGCATGTGCAATACGTGTCCAAGCCATCTCCGTCTAGTAAATTTCACAATCTAATCAATCGACATGCCTTTCTTGACCACTACCCTTCCTCTGACCTCAACATGGCTCACATGGTGATTAAACCACACCTGAGCAATGCTACGAAGACATCTGTGATCAAAATTCTGTAACTACCTAGTGTTTCCTACTTCTAAAGGCTGTCTCAAGGTCGTACAACAGGTCCGGACAAATAATGAAGAATATTTGTAGCTCAGGTGGATGGTCTTGGTTGTATTGTGTTCTCCGAGCTGCGTTGTTGTTTAATCGTGAAGCTTTCATTGTCTTTCTAGACAGCGAAATCACCACTACAGTAAGAAGTGACCTGTCAATATCTCTCTGTGAGTGATTCAGTGGCTTGCTCTGACGAATTGCTTCGTGATTGGTTATTTCCTCCGATTGTTGTGTCATTGATTGTATAAACTTTCCTGTTGGCTGTTCCTCTGCTTCACCTCTGACCTTTCTGTCGTTCATCATTCTTCTTATTGGTTGATAGATCGGGTCTATGTCTATACATCTGTTGATTGACTGACATGGATGCCAAGCTTCTAGGAATTCCCTAATATTCTTTGTGTTTCCCCTCTCCATCTAAAATTTCTACATTGTCGAAATTGAATTCATGTCCACAGTTGTTATCCAAGTGGATTGAAATGAGTGATGAAATGTCATGTGTGACGTTTAATAGCCAATCGGCGCTCAAGTAGACGAAGGCGAAGGTGGGTGACCACTCTCTATCCAATATAGTGTTGACTACAGTTATTCCAGCTGCTTTTGTAAATGATATTCGGTTTGTCTTCCTTAGTTGTTGTGTCCTTTGGTCTACACAATAAGGTTCGAAGGGAATTTGTTGGTTCATGAGCCACACCGATTCCACCAAGTGGTCGCAGTAAACTTGTCGTGATTTCTGATATATTCTCTATGTATGGTAGGATGATGCGTTATTGATGTCTGTCGATGACTTTGTAGTTGGTGATGTACGGGATAGGCATCTTCTGATACAGTTTCGTGGATAGCCGTTCTTCTTTACAATGGACACCAAGTAATTTTCTTCGTTTCCTCCGTGAAGTTGTTGTGCTGCAGTGTGTTCTCGCTCTTTTGAATAGAGTCTGCATGCAACTGGTTTTGTGTGTTGTTGGATCGTTGCTATTGCAGTTGAGGATTTGATCAGTTAGTGTGTTTTGGCTTCGTGTACACTTGGCTTTCCAGCTGTCCAGCATTTCTTCTACTGATTAGAACATCAGAATGGTAGTTGGTTGTTTGACTCTTTCTCCATTGTGAATTTGATTGCATTGAAAACGTTGTTGATCAAACTGTGGGTGTTTTCTATATCATCTTTTTTAATGATGACAAAAGTGTCGTCCACATAGCGAATCCAAATTTTTGGTTTGATCACAAGTAGGGTGATGGCTTCCAGTCTCTGCATCACTGCTTCTGCAATCAATCCGAATATCGGTGATCCCATTGGAGTTCCTTTCATCTGTTTGCATATTTTGCCGTTGAATTGGAAGTATGTTGTCATACAAGGAAGGAAACAGCATATCACAAACCACATCGTCAGAGCAAGCCACTAAATCACTCACGGAGAGATATTGACAGCTCACTACTTCATACTGAAGTTAGTGCTGATGACATCGTCGAGAAAGACGATGAAAGCTTCATGATTAAACAACCCAGCTCAAAGAACAAAATATAACCAGTCCGGACAAACTGCAGCGCCACAGGTGACGCAGATTGCCAAATGCTACACTCTTTGATATCTTCTAAAACGTGAATATTTTGACCAACTTTTATTTTTAAATTCCTTTTTCCAGCGTACAATTTTGTCTAATTTGATATCAGTCTTTCCTGCCCACTTGTTTTTTTGTATACTGTTGTGAATTTCAGCAACCTAGACAGGAGCACTTGTGTGTGAGGTCCTCGTTGATTTTGTCAGTTTTTCACAGTTAGTCATACCTTCCTAACGATTGTCAACAGGTACAAAACCAAGTATTAATTGTCTACAACCATCTAACAACAATCAAAGTGTATTTTGATGGCGAGTTTTTTAGTTTAATGACCATGATCCAAGTATAATCAAGAGTATTCGATCAGCACTTAGGATCAGAAATAAATGATACAGGTTGCTCTTCCCAATCATCAGTCTAAACTTTATCGACTCGAAAGACATGACGCTAGATGGAAACAAATTAAAATGAAACTTCTTTAGGAAGAGAATATTTTACGCTTTGATCGATGGATTTCAGCATCCAGAGTAGTGCAAAAAATAGCAGGAGTGATAAAGACCGTGGGTGCAATAAACTGTTCAAATCCACATATCAACAGTCTACAAATCAGTAAATATAAATTTATACTCGGTGGTGACTGAAGGTGAGATGAAAATCTGGGCCGCAGCAGGATTTGAACCAGCGACCTCCGAGTTTCCTGCCGGCTACGAAGTCCAGCTGTAGACCAGAAGTTAATTTCACTTCAGTCAACAAGGATTTTGTCCAACTGTTACGCAAATTCATGATGCGTTACTACCCATTCATTGTATTCACACTGGCTCGCAAGATATCGTAGCTTAGTAGGTAGAGCACCGGGTCGGTAACCCGGATGTCACTGGTTCTCATCCTGCTAGGGTCCAGATTTTCGTATCACCTTCACTCATCACCTAGTATCCATACAAGACTGCTAAACCACACAGCTATCTCAGACAAGATGTTATGTTTCCGAGAGGATAAGACGCGAACGCTTGACTAACAGCTAACTTTCTATGCCAGATCCATCGACTCCAATTCCAGAAGAAATAGAGAAGAAAACTGGACTAGATGGGAGAGTTTATAACCTTGGAGGAGAATAGTCAATTAACCCAAAAACACATGACATATGATCTTGCCCAGAATTTGAAACATTTATATAGTAAAAGAAAGCATTAACCAACCAGTGAATTGCCGTAAAAATGGGGGAAGGAAATTAATGATTAACCATGCTGCAAAATTGGCGCGAAAAAGACAATTTAAAAGGGTTTAGATTCATAAACAATATTTTGCGTAAATCTGGAGCCTTCCAGCACAAACTGATAATAAATATAAATTGTACATCACATTTGATGCTCACCTACCCGTACATCAGATACTTCACCTCCATGGCCTGTGTACGTTTTCAGTAGACGAAAATTATAAGGATTCCATAATTTTATTGTTTTATCACCACCAGCAGTCATACAATAATTACCATCAGCATTGAAACGTACTGCACGTACAGCTGATTGACGACAGTGAATACGACAGTACGGTTGTGTAGGTAGGGCTAAGGATGCCTTTTTTGACATTCTTCCACCTCAGAAGTCATTATCACCTTTTGAGAAAAAATAAATAAAAACTTATACACCCTGCCTTATATTCAAGCTATGGCAAGCAAGGGATACAATCAGTGTTGACTTCTATTATCACCTGGTTTATTTACAAATTCTGGTCTAAAAATGATTTGGATTATGAGAGCTCAGGTATTAAAAAGTGAAACTATCTCATCAGTAACTTGCCTTATTGTCCACAATGAAATTTCATTAGCGTCGTTAGATAACAGTTTTCTATGCTGCATACTATTCTAGGGTGAGAATTCGAGGAAGACAAAGTGAAACTTTTTCCAAGTAGGATACAGCTCAAGATGAACTTTGATATTTTATCTTCGTTGATATTCCATCCCGAGACATAATGGTATCATCGGCAAGAAATTCAAACATCTTCCTAGGAAGTTAGGGTTGATGATGTCACCAAGTCTGATGAAAAAACATGCAGGATCAAATACCAAAGACCTGAGAACACCAAACCGTAGAGAAACAAGTATTCGCTGAAAAATCTCTAACCCAACCTTAGACCATGAGTTTGAACTCCGTCCCATGTACTCTAGCTTAAGCGACCTGGTAGAGCACCATAGGCACGCATAGACACACAGCTAATTGAACAAATCTGCACAACACTGCTGAGTTATACTATAGACCATAAAAATACTTCTCAATTTAACAATGAAAATGCAGCATGTATGACTTCTCCGATAGAAAATGAGCAAGTATAAGAACAAGTCATAGAGTTGTGGCTCACTGGTTTAGGGAGTTGACTTTCAACCAACACCCCTCCTCCACCCACCATGATTTGAGCAGCCAAGTAGTATCACTATCTATTACACACAGAGGTGTAGCGCCTTGTCTACTGCAGGAAATATCAACACCGTTTGCAGAGTGCATTATGGTGAATATACGTCATGGTAGCAAACGTAAACCAGTATAAAACAAGTGACACGTAACTAGACTGAGTATCTTATAGGGCAAATTCAATTGTCTATGGTGTCGTGGGGTCCCACATTAGTAACGCAGAAGTCAGGTGTAAAGTTTTAGGGGTAGAGGAAAGTCAGTAGATGGGGTTGTGAGTCTTCATAGACTCAGATGCCTAACCTCCCTTTACTTTGTCCCAGAAAGTTAGCCGAAGTAGGTTCAGGCTGGAAAAATCTAGGGGCGGTCAAACTGAAACATGGCGTCACTGCATGCAGTCTTTGACTGTTGGTCTCAGCCATGTATCAAGATGTAGACTAGCCAGTTGAGATCCACGTGACAACAGAAACCAATGGTTGGAAACTCTAGGTGATATGGATCAGAATTAATGTCAGTAGGCCAGTTGTATCCACATTTTATCTTCATCTTAACCACTACACTTAATCTCATCATTTTTTCATTCCTGCTTCCTCTCCTTTACTACTTTCTGCTTCTTTTGGCCGATTCTTCTTTCTTTTTTCATCTTAAATCTTATTGCTTTATTTGATGTGCCGATATGTAGTGTGGCAGCTTGGACCGTTATGCAGTAATGTCTGGTCCTAAGTTGAGCTTGATGATGATAAATCCTTCTCACACTACTTGTTTTTTCGATACACAGACGATAAACAGTTTTAAATTACAGAATCTCGCCAATGTTTACGCACATCTTGTAGAAATTGTGTCCTAAGTTCTAAAGAATACCATCAGAGAGGAAAAAACTGCAGACCTTAAAGTAGAGTTTTTATTTCAATAGTATTGAAGGTGTAACAAAGTTTTTCACTTTTGAGAATTGCCCTCTACCTTGGCGCTACTCAGGATAATCATCATCGTAGTCAGCTCAAGAGATAGCAATACTTATTATCCCCAAAACGCTGACAAAGAACCACTATTTATGACCATTCTGTTCCGTTAAAGCAATAAAACTTTATTATTTCTTCATATCAATCCTAATTAAAAGCTTTATTCACACATACTTGGTCTTATGCTAAACTATAAACACAAATAATTTTACCTTAGAAACAGAGATATGAAGATTTTAGAGAGTCAATACATTTCCTACAACAACAAGGCATGAGCAGGGAAAATAAACAGAAAACTAGAATACTGACCTAAGTGCAACGGAGGTTGACACTTTCCGATTGTTTACATCCTGGAAGCTTACTTCTTCTTGAGGTAACTCGAAGATACACAACATTAGTAGTGATGCGTCACTGTAGAGCCCATGGGATATTCCTATTCGACGTCGGTGGTCACATAGCTTTTTTAGGTTGAATTGCTTTGCATCTGGGGTAAAAAAAGCCCCATATCACGAGTAGCGGAGAGAAGTAGGGCAGAAAGCAGTGTGCTGTTTTCATTACCAGCCATTTAAAACGCTCTTTCCGACAAGAGAATGCTAGTCATCTTCAGGAAACACCTTACTACAGTCACACCCCCTCCACTCAACAAGACGACTTTGCTTCGGAACCCTGTTATAGTGTAAGCTATTCACACTACACCGATGAGTTTTTTTTGTCTCAGCACCATAAAACATAATTTGGTGACATTGTAGTACCTCAAGCAACAATTGTTTTAACCACAATGGCTCGTAGTGAATAGCAAGCCCGCTCACCATGTCAAGGTAGCAGCTATCGGTCGGTGGAAAAGACAAAACTAGAGAAAACTTACCATAACCTAGCAAGTTGACTGAAATATAGTCACTGAAAATACTAGTTACTCTAATTTCAATGTAAATCTCATCCGAAAGAGTATTTCATAACCAGATTAGTTAGAAAGTGATCAATATAACAGTAACTGAATGCATAGACAGTCAGAGTTGAATCACCGTGTCAGCAATGACGAGGTCAGGTGGAAGGTACTAGGTAAGAGGAACAAGTCTATTGATGAGGTTGTGAACCTTAGTCGACTGATATGGCGCCGATGTATTCGTTCATTGATATCTTCAACGACTAACCTTTATCATCTTCAGATTGTTCATCCACTCACATGACTTTATCTACTTTGATATCAGTTTTTTCCTATCCACTTGTTTTTTGTACGCTACTGTGAAATGTGGCAATTTCAATCGGTGCAGTCATATGCGCGTTCTACCTCGACTTTGTCTGTCTCGCACACAAGTACGGCAGCTGAAGTTGTCAAACCTCGCATAAGTACAGGTACAAAAATTCCAGACAGACCGAATGATATCAAAATAGATAAGGAAAGGGGAACGGAGAGGGAACTATCAACCACCTTATCTGAAGCAACGAGTCACAAATCCCTTTCAAAAACTTTAAAAATTTAGCTGAATATCACCTTGACTACAGATCCAACCCGTGGATCAATGACTTTAGAATAAGGAGATATAAGTTGACAAATATAGTATAAACAACTCAAGTGAGTCTGGTAAATTTGCAATCAAAAAAGAAAATGTAATTGGTACAGTGAGTTGGGTCACAACCAATCAACTCGGGTTACAAATGTACGTACACCAATAAAGACAGGCGCATCGGAAGTTGATTTTCCATCACTGGTACACACCCTGAAGTTGTATCTTAAGTGAAATTAAGATGGTGTATGAACACCTGTAGTACAACACGGTTACTTAGTGGTGTCGATTAATTCATACTGGAAAACAAAAAAAATGGAAGTGTTGCATACATGTGGTCCGTAAGCCTTTTAAACGAAGTGACTGAACTATCTAAATGCACATATAGGAGTTCATTTGGTACTAACTATGAGTTGTGATAGTCAATGGGTTGAGATATTATACAATCAAACATTAAAACCACTATTGACTTCAGAATAGTAATTCTCTCTATTGAAATGATAAGGTTGTAGACTTAATTACAACTCCAACCTACATTGAAAGGTCCTGAGTTCGACCCCTGGTGGGGCCATGGGTTCGTACTACTGAGGAGTCCCAAAGTAAGACGACGAAACAGCTATCCCGTACTCCCAGATTTCCAGCCAGTGATGAATACTACCTTAGAAATAAAATCCTCATAAACCCTAAAGTATATTAAACAGTAGAATATGCAATAGAAGACATTTATGATTACTTAGATAAGTGATAAACACTGATGACGACTCCTAATCCACGACAAAACAACCACTCCCTGATTATTAATAGAGCATGATACAAAGCACATTTTCAAATATGCATCAAAGTTTTCTCTTTAGATTTTACTATGTTCAATCAGCCAAACGACAATCCTATTTTAGTAGATAGAGTGTTTCTGGAAATCCTGTCCATGGTGCTGTATGCTCACCAAACGCTTCATGAGTGAAGGTTACGTCATTGTTTTATTTATGGTGTTGATTTCCATACAGTTCATACATATCAATATCATATTCCACAGTTTTAAAAGCCGACACTGACCAACTCAACAGAACTAAACAAAAACAGCTAGATTTAGAACCCCTCTCAGACCCAAATCACTGTAACACAGCCGAAATCAATCATCCCGGTGCCAAAAATAATAGAATTTAACAGTCATTATCAATCATTACCATTCAACTATCTGAGATAGCCGTAGTTTGGCAGACTAGTATTTGCACTGGGTGATGATTGAAGGTAAGATGAAAATCTGGACCGCAGCTGGATTCGAATACCCGGCGGTCGCTGGTTCGAATCCGGTCGCAGTCCAGATTTTCATCTTACCTTCAATCATTACCCAGTATAAAGGCAATAAATCAAAAAGAACTCCAACTGAAGTTAGAACAAATCTTTATTATTGTAAAAACGATAAGCATATATGTTGTATGAACAGAGAGAGAGAGAGGTGGTAGTTACACACTGAAGTCAAAATGTTTATGAAACACCATTCAACACTTTTAAACGATCCATTATCTCCTCTGAAGAGAAAAAGATTTTGAAAAAGACAGAAAAAAGAAATGTTACGTTAGGAATTTTAGTTCGACGAAGCAGTTGTTGTGAAATCAAAGTTAATAAACAAAGTACAGAGAAGTAAGACAATTTTAACGGTCTAAAGACTACTTTCCAGATGGCATATATTATACACATTTGTTAATTACAAACATCAAGTATGTATCACTCAAAAAGCATAAACATACGATTTGACATTACTGCACAACGGTTCGAGTTGTTACACCTCATATGAACCCGACCGATAGTTGTTAACCTTGACTAGGTGGTCAGGGTTTCGTATCGCAATGACCCAACGAACTACACTGGCTAGAACGCTTGTTCCCTCGAAGTCCTACCATGACAGAAAAGTCTGTTAGATAATGGTGAGACGAAAAGCAGTTACCGTCGTAGTGTAAATTGCTACACTATGATAAAGTCCGGAATAAGAAGTTGTGCCGCTAGGTGGATGAGGTGTGATAGCAATAAGGTGTTTCCTTCAGATGACCAGCAGTGACATGCTGACGCTACCTTCCAAATCGGAACGGGGGGGTTTAGAAAGCGTTGATTCCAAAAATAGCACACTTCTCCCTGCCCTACAGTGTTCCGGTATCGGCAGTATGGGTTCTCTGTCTTTGGCGTAGAAAAAACCAAACCTCGAAATAACCCGTAAACGGCTGTGTGACAGGTCTTAAGCAGATGTTTCATGGGTTCTGTGATCACACAAATATTTTTGTCTTTGAGGTACCTTAAGAAGAAGGAGCCTTCTACGGTATGGGCAGTTGGGAAGTGTCAACCCCTCGCACACACTTCCACTGGTACACAGGAGCTAATCAAACCTCACATCAACACATCAAGGTAGGAGGGGGAAGGTGAAAGGTAGGGAATAAGATGAGCATAACTGCTAGCTCAACGTGGTGGTAACCAGGTTTTCATAAACAGTGATCGCATGAGCTCTTCTGGTGGAACGCATATTCGCTCCAGGTCCTACCATACCTGTCGGAAACATCTCCATAAGGATAACGCAAAAAGCAGTCACTATCACAGTCTAAATGGCTACGCTACGATGAGGCTCTGAGGGTAAAGTTGTAATACCGGTCTTCAGCGACTTATAACAGTAGTATAGTGCTCCTCCTGTTTGACCCAGTAGTGTATGCTGATACTGCCCTTCCTACATGAAGGAGGACTTCGAAAAAGCTAGCGCAAAAATTGGAACATTCACCTTTGCTGTGCAGTCTTCTTGTGATGGTGAGATGAGTTTCCTGGTTGGAACTGCAACGATGAAAACTAAATCTCAAGATTTGAAAAAGTTGGTGCATAACTGGTATTAAGCTGTGCCGTTATACACTATTATTAATAAACTAATTTCTTTTTCAGATATCTCAAGAACATAGCCTCTCATGAAGTAGGCAGTCAACCTTTTAACAATAAACTTCCCCTAATAGAAAGAGTATAGCAAGCTTTATGCTGAAGATAATCTGGTTGAAGTAGCTCTAAGGATCAAGGACTGAAACTACCAATTAGGTTTCTTTTCTTTGATTGCAAAGGTAATTTTTTCACAGAGTACAGAACTTTAGTAATCTAACATCAATAGTTGTTAGGGTGACCTTTATAGTTGCTCTACTTTAATTGCTCGCTTCAATGTTCAAGCCCGACAAACCCGTATACCTAGCAAATATTTGTCACCTATATATTGGCTTTCAGTTCACTGATGTTTTTCATCATCATCATCATCATCAATATCAACATAGGACTAGGCATTACTGCGTAACGCTCCGAGTTCTCACACTTCATATCAGTACATCAAGTAAAAAGGTAGTGAGGTGAAAGATGAAGATAATAAAACTCAGTCAAAAGAAATATAAAGTACTAAAAGAGGGAAAGGAAGAATGACAAAATGGTGAGAATCGGTACAGTGTTAAGATGAGGATAATGTGTGTATACATATGCGTGACTGATATCGATTCTAAGCCATATCCCCTAGAGTCTCCAACCACTGGTTCCTCTAGTCCCGCACACCCCAACCGACTAGTCTGCATCGCCCCACTTGGCTCAAACCAACAGTCAGAGACTTCATGCATTGGTGCCATGTTTTAGTCTGGCCACCTCAGTCAGGCCTTTTTCCAGCCTAGGCCTACTTCAGCCAACATTGTGACGAGGCAATCGGTGACTAGGCATACGTAGTACGTGTCTCCCAACCATCTCAATCGATGAAGGTTCATAACCTCGTCAACTGATTTACCTCTACTCCCTAAAAACTCTATACCTGACGTCTGCATTGCTCACGTGGTGACACCACGGAATACAGCCTATACTACGAAGACAATGGTGGTAGTCAAACACTTGAAGCCTTCTCATGTCTTCCATTTCAATGGCCATGTTTCACAGCCATACAGCTATTCTTCTTGTCTTCACATGCGTCAGTAAAACTTTAGCCTCGCATTACCGTCTTTAGCTTTGTCATTATAAGTTTCCTTCCACTCACTAGAATCGACACATATGAGAAGAGATCTCTGGTATTTTTGACAGAACGCCTATGAATTAATCTAGTTCCCATTCTAATTATGTTTCCCCTAAATTAATCCGTGGATTTTTTAATTAGGGCAATTTCCTTAGTGTTCATGTTCACAGTACCGTTCTTCATACAACAAACCTTCACATTATTGTATCGGAAAGAATCACTTCCCTTGAGTTTAAGTTTTTTCACGCTTTTCTTTAGCCAGGTCACTTGACTTTTAAGCAACTGGTTTCCATTTCGAAACCCTTTCAACATACTTCAACCTGAGCTATCGAGTATATCGTTAGTCCTCATATATTTTAGCCCATAGTCGAAGTGAATCGAATCAAAATCTATTCAAGTAATCTTATGCACATTTATACAGTAGGTGACGAGTCACATTTATTGTGTGAGATCTAATGACACCACTTGGTTACCCAAACCTCGGTAGGTGGAACGGGGCTCGAATGCTTAACCCACTGGTTGAAAGTCAGCTTCCTCAACCAGTGAATAAACCTGTACCTGTATCTGACTTGCATCACAAAAGGTTGTGCTCACTTTTATGAATAAAAACCCACTTGTTATAGCGGGCCGAAGAAATGACAAGCATTATAAGATGTATTATCTTATTTACTTTAAAAGGTATTCTTAAGCTCAAGATTTATTCAACAGTTCAGATCGAGAGCTTTCTTTTGACTCCTCCCTCATCTCCACATGACTGGTCATTGGGAAATATTTGTGTATCAAATGAAACGGATTATCCTACAGAGTCCCAATTCCTGTGTGTTTCAATTTATTGAACTATTATAGTGTGCGTTATGTTCATGTCATCCAGTTGCTCACATGTATGACTCAAGGGGTCAGGTCGCACAAAATACAAAGGTAGGGGGAAACCGTTAGTCTTTGTTTTCTTTTTGTACAGTGTGGAGGAAGGCAAGAAAGATTGATGGTTGTTAAAGGGTTGTAAATAATCCATCCAGCATTTGGAACACATCTGCCGGTGATTCATATGCGTCGGTAAAGGAGTAGACAAGTGCAGTGATATGTAGATAGGTAGAACCAAGTGAAATTACTTTATTTGTGGTTAAAACGCCATTCACTTGGGGAAAGCAATATTGATAAGAATCATGGTTAACTCTATTCTTTGATGAAACAGCAATATAATAACCCCATTTTCTAAGAATAGCTCCAATAAACGAGAAGTCATAAGGCAGTCAGTAAACAAGTTTTGTAACAAACTTGGATTAAATAAGACGACTAAAACATGTCATGTGTATCACAATTCATCACCTACTACAATGGATAGTTAGAGACTGAGAACAGTTAAGGATGACCACAACCAAGATATAAATAATATCAAATTATTGTTGATCTGCAGTCATGTAGTGTATCCCACGATTATCTACCAGGAAGTGAAGTTTTTAAGAAGCCAGAAATGAAACAGTTGAAAGCTGTCAATTAAGTGGTTCAAAATAGGTTATACATTCTTTAACTCCTTCTTTTAAACCTTCAATACCAAGATTACTCTTCATTTACTCACTATCTCTCTGTGTGCTTTGTTTCGAGTTTATTTGAACACCTTTTCATCTATTTTCACTATCTCTTCTGTAATCTCAAAAAGTGTAAAACCTTTAGTCGAAATTTTTTTGTTGAAAAAGTTCAACGGTGTTATGACTGTGGCATCGAAAGCGCATATTCCTTACTTGGAAGATATGCCCTACAGTTTACCACCTATGCATTATTTACAGATATGTAATGGGGTGCCTACGCTCGATACTGAAGATCAGATGACTAGAAAGAATCAGCAACAAGGAACTCTGGCTGGCTGGCTGGCTGGCTGGCTGACAACGAACCAACCAAGAACCTATCACTCAACAAATATGCAGAAGAAAGTGAAGATGGATTGAACATACACTGAGAACGCCGACTGGGGACATCGCGCGCCAGGCCATGCCGTCGAGTGGAATCCAAATGGGAAACGATGAGTTGGGCGTCCTAGTTGAGGGTGACATGGAGGAGATCATGTGAAGAAGAAATGAAAGCTTTTGGGCAGTCGTGGCGCCTGGTTCAAAAGACTTCAGAGGACAGAGTACAATGGAGGCGTGCTACTGGAGCCCTATGTCTCACTAGGGACCCAAGCGAATAATAATATTAATAATAATAATGTAATGGGGTTAAAAAATTTAAAGTGGTACACCTAGGTATGTTTGAAAAACTCCATATACCTAATTAACCACTAATTTAGCGTAGTACACTCCAAACTACATCTCATTTGAGCGACATGACAACACTACTCCAGCTGATTTCAGTTCCTGATGATTCCTACGACTGCCAAACGATAGAACCATAAACTAGACCAACTGTATGTGTGACATTCCGGTCGAAAGTGATACTCTTGTTACTTCTAAAGCAAGTAGGCAGGTACAAAAATAAATAGAGATCACCCAAAGAAATTACAACGAGATCAACACAGTCTGTAGTGCCCACAATTTCTCACTTCTAAAATGAAACACGACTCAAGAAGTGCAAGCAGTATAAAGATTTTCACGATTTATTTTGCATGTACACATTTTTCTTAGTCAGCAAACTCATCTTCAGTCAAATCCTGTTATACATCTGTAAGATATGGCCATTTTAATTAGGAGACATGAAGCGATCGCAGGTTTTTAACTGTGTTCGCGTATGGTGGAATCATTAAGTCAGCAATGCCCAAGTTAAGCGAAGGGTACTCTAGGGTGGCAGGCAAGTCAGTCAATGAGGTTGTGAACACTGGACGATTACGGTTGGTTGTACATATACTGCCCATGCCAAGACACCGCCTACCTCGACCTGCAATGCCAGTAGAGATTGGATTAAGTTGGAAGAGGGTTTAGGGTGGCTAGACCAAGACATGATACCACGGCATGGAGTCTTCAGCTGCTGATCTGAGCCGTTTGGGGAGGTGTAGACTACTTGGTGGGGGTCCCGAAGTAGTTGAGGAATCCTGGCGACATGAACGAAAATTGGTAACAAAGGCACAGATGTATTCACTTTTTGACGTCTTAGAGAGCTTGAGTGTTTTGACTAACTTCAATTTTTAAACTCCTTTTCCTTCTATAAACCTGTGTCTACTTTGATATCACTTTTCCTATCAACTTGTGTTTTTGCATGCAACTTTAAAGTGTGATAACTTGAACTGATGCACTTCAGTGCCAGATTCTACGCTGATCTTGTCCGTCTGTCCGCTATTCAGTCAACTAGTATGGTTTACCTTGAATCAATGTAGTTCAGTTTATTCAGATATCAAGGTATATCATAAGTTAGTACAATTTTGTGATTATACATTTTATCCTTAGCTCAACTTAGTCTAATCACACGTTGGACTAGGCGATAATTTGAAATCCGTTTCATGTTTCAGTCAACTTATTCGGTGCAAGCTTACTGGAAACTCTTTTACTGGCTAATCTGTACTACCTTTAAATTAAATAAGAATGAATAATATGGACATCCTTGACGGACACTACTTACTTGATACTTCACAATGGACTATGGGATGCCCACCGGTGCTCAAATACATAGTCTTTACTAGGATGGTCTACTTGCCTGGCACATCGAGTAGGAAACACTGCCATGAGACCTCTTAGCCAACAGAGACAAATCTCACCTGCAAGCCGAGAAATACAGCTAGTGTCGGGGCGTTGGTGTGTCCGTATTCCGACACCTGGTAGATGAAAATATGGTCGATACACTCTAACCAGGTTGAAAAACTGTCTCGTTTTTCTGAGTTTGTTGTTATCCTCTGATTACACTTCATATAAGGGATAGGGTTATGACTTCGAAAGTAATATTCATCACTTTCAAACAACCAGGTGCATAAAGCAAACAGACAATCCATAGATCCAATTCTAAAGAATATGTATATACGCTATAGATAATAAAGTAGGCATTAGTGTTATGGTGTTTAGTGATTATGCATAACTTTAAAGGACTTACGCGTATTATGATGAATCCAATTCAGTGAATGCATATGACAATTAAGAATACGTGTGACTTGATTCATAATATCTCCACTACTATTCGATGATGAAACTTTTTTCGGATTACTATTCATTATACTGTTATCCTGTTTACCATCATCCGATGAGTTTATAGAAGCACCATTGGTAACAGATGAATTTAAACCAGTAACAGCAGTTACTGTACCAGTAGCAGCAGCAGCTGTGGTATTCGTTTGATCAGCCATTTCACGTAAATCTGTGAGTAGTTGACCCAGTTCCAGGTCAACATTTGTAGCTAACTGAAATATTGCCTCTCGTTCATAGTCTGAGTGTAGTTGACCAGGCGGTAGTTCATTAACTGCACGTTCCAACGGTTCAAGTAGACTTTCTAACTCACGCTGTTGACCCTCGATGAAATCCAACTCCTGTAGTGTAAAAGTGAGGAAAAGTATATTTATAATATAAATTATCTTATGCAGACATGAAATATGGCAGCGGAACCACAGCTATTATTGTTACTATTAGTGGATGATTATAACGTGTTTCTACGTCATGAATACTATACTAGTGTTTAAACCCGTAATAGTAGTAGTAGAGTAGTAGTAGTATAGTAGTAGTAGTAGTATATAGTAGTAGTAGTATATAGTAGTAGTATAGTAGTAGTAGTAGTAGTATAGTAGTATAGTATAGTAGTAGTAGTAGTATAGTAGTAGTAGTAGTAGTAGTAGTAGTAGTAGTAGTAGTAGTATAGTAGTATAGTATAGTAGTGTAGTAGTAGTAGTAGTAGTAGTAGTATAGTAGTAGTAGTAGTAGTATAGTAGTAGTAGTAGTAGTAGTAGTAGATAGTAGTAGTAGTATAGTAGTATAGTAGTAGTAAGTAGTAGTAGTAGTAGTAGTATATAGTAGTAGTAGTATAGTAGTAGTATAGTAGTATAGTAGTAGTAGTATAGTATAGTAGTATAGTATAGTAGTAGTAGTAGTAGTAGTATAGTATATATAGTAGTAGTAGTAGTAGTAGTAGTAGTATATATAGTAGTATATAGTAGTAGTAGTAGTAGTATAGTAGTATATAGTATAGTAGTAGTAGTAGTAGTAGTAGTATAGTAGTATAGTAGTAGTAGTAGTAGTAGTAGTATATAGTAGTAGTAGTAGTAGTAGTAGTATAGTATATAGTAGTAGTAGTAGTATAGTAGTAGTAGTAGTAGTAGAGTATATAGTATGTAGTAGTATATAGTAGATAGTATAGTAGTAGTAGTAGTAGTATAGTGTAGTATATAGTAGTAGTAGTAGTAGTAGTAGTAGTAGTAGTATAGTAGTAGTAGTAGTAGTAGTAGTATAGTAGTAGTAGTAGTATATAGTAGTATAGTAGTAGTAGTAGTATATATAGTAGTAGTAGTAGTAGTAGTAGTGTATAGTGTATAGTAGTAGTAGTAGTAGAGTTAGTAGTAGTAGTAGTAGTATGTAGTAGAGTAAGTATAGTAGTAGTAGTAGTAGTATAGTAGTAGTAGTAGTAGTAGTAGTAGAGTAGTATAGTAGTAGTAGAGTAGTAGTAGTAGTAGTAGTATAGTAGTGTATAGTAGTAGTAGTAGTAAGTAGTAATGTAGAGTGTAGTAGTAGTAGTAGTAGTAGTATAGTAGAGTAGTGTAGTAGTAGTAGTAGTAGTAGTAGTGTAGTAGTAGTATAGTAGTATATAGTAGTAGTGTAGTAGTATATAGTATAGTAGTAGTAGTATAGTAGTATAGTAGTGTATAGTGTATATGTATAGTAGTGTGTAGTAGTAGTGTATATAGTAGTGTAGTTAGTAGTAGTAGTAGTAGTATAGTAGTGTAGTAGTATAGTAGTATAGTAGTAGTAGTAGTAGTAGTAGTAGTATAGTATAGAGTAGAGTAGTAAGTAGTAGTAGTAGTAGTAGTAGTAGTAGTAGTATAGAGTAGAAGTAGTAGTAGTAGTAGTAGTAAGTAGTAGTAGTAGTAGTAGTAGTGTATAGTTAGTAGTAGTATAGTAGTAGTGTAGTAGTAGTATAGTAGTGATAGTAGTAGTGTAGTAGTAGTATATAGTAGATAGTAGTAGTAGTAGTAGTAGTATAGTAGTAGTAGTAGTAGATAGTAGTAGTAGTAGTATAGTAGTAGTAGTAGTATAGTAGTAGTAGTAGTATAGTAGTAGTAGTAGTAGTAGTAGTATAGTAGTAGTAGTAGTAGTAGTAGTATAGTAGTATAGTAGTAGTAGTAGTAGTAGTAGTAGTAGTAGTAGTAGTATATAGTAGTAGTGTAGTATAGTAGTAGTATATAGTAGTAGTAGTAGTAGTATAGTAGTAGTTAGTAGTAGTAGTATTATAGTAATAGTAGTAGTATAGTAGTAGTAGTAGTAGTAGTAGTATAGTAGTAGTAGTAGTATATAGTATAGTAGTAGTAGTAGTAGTAGTAGTATATATATAGTATAGTATAGTAGTAGTATAGTAGTATAGTAGTAGTATATAGTATAGTAGTAGTAGTAGTAGTAGTAGTAGTAGTATATAGTAGTAGTAGTAGTAGTAGTATAGTAGTAAGTGTAGTGTTAGTAGTAGATAGTAGTAGTAGTATAGTAGTAGAGTAGTAGAGTGAGTAGTAGTAGTATAGTAGTGTAGTAGTAGTATAGTAGTAGTAGTATAGTAGTAGTAGTTAGTAGTAGTATAGTAGTAGTAGTATAGTAGTATAGTAGTATAAGTAGTAGTAGTATGTAGTAGTAGTAGTAGTAGTAGTATAGTAGTAGTAGTATAGTGTATAGTAGTAGTAGTAGTAGTAGTAGTAGTAGTAGTAGTAGTAGTATAGTAGTAGTAGTAGTAGTAGTAGTAGTAGTAGTAGTAGTATAGTATAGTATAGTAGTAGTAGTAGTAGTATAGTATATAGTAGTATAGTAGTAGTATAGTATAGTAGTAGTATAGTGTATAGTAGTAGTAGTAGTAGTAGTAGTATAGTAGTAGTAGTAGTAGTAGTGTAGTAGTAGTAGTAGAGTAGTAGTGTAGTAGTAGTAGAGTAGTAGTAGTAGTATATAGTATAGAGTAGTGTAGTAGTAGTGTAGTATAGTAGTAGTATAGTAGTAGTAGTAGTAGTAGTAGTAGTGTAGTAGTATAGTAGTATAGTAGTAGTAGTAGTAGTAGTAGTAGTAGTAGTGTAGTAGTAGTAGTAGTAGTAGTAGTAGTGTAGTAGTAGTAGTAGTAGTAGTGTAGTAGTATAGTAGTAGTATAGTAGTAGTAGTAGTAGTAGTAGTAGTAGTAGTAGTAGTGTAGTAGTATAGTAGTAGTAGTAGAGTATAGTAGTAGTAGTAGTAGTAGTAGTAGTAGTAGTAGTAGTAGTAGTATAGTAGTAGTAGTATAGTAGTAGTAGATAGTAGTATAGTAGTAGTAGTAGTAGTAGTATATAGTATAGAGTAGTAGTAGTATAGTAGTAGTAGTAGTAGTAGTAGTAGTATAGTAGTAGTAGTAGTATAGTAGTAGTATAGTAGTAGTAGTAGATAGTAGTAGTAGTAGTGATAGTAGTAGTAGTAGTATAGTGTAGTAGAGTAGTAGTAGTGTAGTAGTAGTAGTAGTAGTAGTAGTAGTATGTAGTAGTAGTATAGTAGTAGTAGTATAGTAGTATAGTGTATAGTAGTAGTAGTATAGTAGTAGTAGTATGTAGTAGTAGTAGTATAGTAGTATAGTAGTAGTAGTAGTAGTAGTGTAGATAGTAGTAGTAGAGTAGTAGTAGTAGTAGTATAGTAGTAGTAGAGTAGTAGTAGTAGTATAGTAGTAGTAGTAGTAGTAGTAGTAGTAGTAGTGTAGTAGTAGTAGTAGTAGTAGTAGTAGTAGTAGTAGTAGTAGTAGTAGTAGTAGTAGTAGTAGTAGTAGTAGTAGTATATAGTAGTAGTAGTAGTAGTAGTAGTAGTATAGTAGGTAGTTATATAGTAGTAGTAGTAGTAGTAGTAGTATAGTAGGTAGATAGTATAGTATAGTAGTAGTAGTAGTAGTATAGTAGTAGTAGAGTAGTATAGTATAGTAGTAGTAGTAGTAGTAGTAGTAGTAGTAGTAGTAGTATAGTAGTAGTAGTAGTAGTAGTAGTAGTGTAGTAGTAGTAGTAGTAGTAGTAGTAGTAGTGTATAGTAGTAGTGTAGTAGTAGTAGTAGTAGTAGTAGTAGTAGTAGTATAGTAGTAGTAGTAGTAGTGTAGTAGTAGTATAGTAGTAGTAGTAGTAGTAGTAGTAGTAGTAGTAGTAGTAGTAGTAGTAGTAGTAGTTAGTAGTAGTAGCAGTTCTGTGTGTAGACCTACTGAATAGACCCCATGAGCCTCGGCACGTCTCCACCAAGCAATTCCATGCACCTCCTTTATATGTTGTCACGTAAGTTGGATAGAGGAAGAGGATACAATCCTTGAGGATAATCCACTTCCACATGGCTTAGACACATCACGTAAGACTTGAGAGCGACTTTATACAGTGACTACTTGTTTCGGTTTGAGAATGAAGGCAGAATTACAGCTGCTATACAATCTATAATATCATAGAGAAACATATTTATAGTGAATGACTAATCAAATGAACGTATATTAACGCGGATTTAGCCTCAGTAGACTAAAATGCTGGCCAGGAAAGCCGGATATGACATGTGCACCTGTGAATACTGGTCAAGCCTAGTTACTCAACGACTGTGAGCTTCTTTGCAGCCCCATTGGATTCTAACCAATACACCATCATAGTGATAATAGCGGTCAACGAGATCTATATGCGCTGATCAGTGGCGCGGATCTCCAAAGTACAGACGAGCCAAATGCGATGGATGCCATGAAGACACTCATGATTAAAACCCTGTAACCGCTTCATGTCTTCTACTTTCAACGGCCAAGTCTCACAGCTGTACAACAAGAAGGAACGGATTGCAGTGAACTACATTCATCATTTAACAGGTAGTCGCATATCACGCCAGTTGGCACCAAAGATGACACAAGAAGGAAAAAGGCGAATGGGCCTTCTGTATCCAAGCTGAGATTTAGTCAGCAACCAGCTCGTTTGAGCTGATGCAACTGCCTGAGTAAGTGAAATGGTCGATACATTTCACCAGTTCACTCCATCATTAAGCTGAGAGTAATTGCAGACCAGACCTGGAGCATCTTCTTACATCTTACATTTGACAGGTACCAGAGAAATGGGCGCCAAACAAATATACTGATTTCTGCTCAATGCGTTCAAAAGACCCTGCACTTCGTCGGTGTCTTTACCCAGCAAGACAATATCGTCTGCATACTTTAAATCAACCAGCTAGGGAGGAGATCAATCCCTCTGAAGTCATATGTACTTAAGGATATATTCATTATTTAATCCATAACTAAATTAAATAAGAACAATGACAGTAGACATCCCAGGCCCATATCACCAGTTTTCGTCAATTCACATGAAAACTCCGCATAAAGCCTTACATGGCTGCGTAAATTCGAGTAGAGAGCTTTGACAAGCATCATATTCTTGCTCGGTATTCCCTTTACAGTCAAACACTGCCGTAACATCTCATGACCGAGAGTCAAATACCTTTAGATCAAGATATATAGCAAGTGTTAGTCGTTGGCCGATAATTATGTGTCCCAGAATTTGTCGGAGGGTGAAAATAAGGTCAATGCACCCTTGTGTGGGTATGTGCGGGTTTTCTTGAGTTTGTTATTCTCAAGCTCTTTGGGGATTAGACAACTATGGATCCTAGGATCTTGGATACAGTAGTAATCAAACTAATTCCCCTATGGTTGTCATAGGAAGACTCTTCTCCCTTCTTATAGACTGGAATGATCAGAGAAGTAAACCAGTCTGACGACACTATATCTGATTCCCATACACTAACTAGGCCCGAGGTGGCCAGACTAAAACATGGCACCAATGTATGAAGTCTCTGACTGTTGGTTTAAGCCATGTAGGACGATGTAGACTAGGTGGTTGGGGCCCACGGCAAAAGAGGAACCAGTGGTTGGAGACCCTAGGTGATATGGCTCAGAACCGATGTCAGTGGCGCAGATGTATCCTCACACACATTATCCTCATCTTAAGGACGCTATACCGAATCTCACCATTTTGTCACTCCTCTTTCCTTTCTTCTCGTACTATATATTTCTTTTGACTGCACTCACTTATCTTCATCCTTCACCTCACTATCTTTTTACTTGATGTGCTGATATGAGGTGTGGCAACTCGGACCGTTATGCAGTAATGCCTGGTCCTATGTTGATAATGATGATGACACTAACTAGTACATCCGTCACTCTTATCAGAGACTACCTATCTCCATCCTTGAAACCTTCGGATGGAAAACTGTCATGTCCTGATTCTTCGCATCGTTTCTGGTTCTATACAGCCTTCTCAACTTCAAGTACAGTTGGACTGACATCTATGTCCCGCTCCGGTTACCGTTGGATTTGGGCGACTGAAGTGTTGCTGAGGGCTAGTTGGACTGTGCTTCAAAATGTTCTGCCCAACGTTCTAACCGCCTGTGCCATCCTTTCCGGTGATGTTTTCACTAACTGCAGTCTTTTTCTTGCCGGTATCCTTAATAAACCCAAATAGTTGCCGGGTGTTAACCAAACGTTGATGCCTTCTTCATCTTTCTCGTTTTCGCTACCCACCACTGCTCGCGATCATTGGGGAGTCCTTTGGTCAATATGAGACCGTGTCGCCTTATGCTTATAGCCAGAACAAACGGTGGGACAAACAAAACTGGCATTATGCGGGAAATATATTTTTAAAATCCCAAAGAGGTAAAACAAAACAATTTTCTGATATTTTGCATCCTCATTGAAACCGCTTCTTCAGAAGGCAAAACCAGGACAAGTCACTGCATGTAAGTAGTAAGTGAAGATAAATGAAACCACGTTGTTCACACATGATAACGTGGGAATAAATGTCATCCTTATTAATTATTAGTCCACAAGTTCAAGGTGATGTGAATGTGTGCATATGGGAATGTACGTAAATTAGTTGTGGTTGGTGTGTACAACGTGTTATTCTGAACGACTGTATATGCCACTGTAGTAAATACTGAAATAACTAATCAGGATTCTTTATTTTAACTGAAATAAGTATTTGATAGGATACAGAATCCTAATTGGTTACTTCAGTGATCGTTAGAGTGATCATTAAAATCAGTGGTTATTTTGAATATACTATCCACGCTGATTGGATAGTTAGGCCTTTCTTTCCGTTGAGTGCATTAGGATTCAGTATAGTATGAAATGCCTAGCCTATCTGTTCTTCCTTGTAGTTTTGGATTTCGCAAACACATTTCTTTCATAAAACATTTACCTAATGCTCAACTGGTTCAATTTTGTTAGGTCAACTTTTGATTCTTAAATCTACAAAAACTGACATTGGATATACTGAACCCGAATTTACTTTTTTTAGGAGGCTAAGAATTGTTACAAGTTGAGACCAACTACATATCGTACGAAGTAGATTATTAGTCATGAGAATGTTTGGTAATAAAAATAAATTTAATGCCAGCCATTCCAGTATTGCATCTCCACTAAGATATGAGACACGCTTATTGGGTGGTGAGGCTTAATAACACTAACTACTTTCCCTAAGCTGAAGTAGATGGAACAAGAATTTGAACCCAAGACGTATATTGGTTGAAAGTGCTCAAGTCAACTAGCAAAAGTAAACCTAGAAAATGAAGATATACACGACTGATTAAGTACGAGACAACTACACAGAAAAATATCGATAATACTGGACAAATCAAATAACTAAACTTCTCATTATATAAATATTAGAAATCATTCACCTGCTCTAAACGACTTTGTTCACATTGACAAGTTTCTACTTTTTCATACATGGCTGTTATATTTCCGCATTCGCAATCAAGGTTTGATCCCACTGGTTAATACGATCTGCTTCGTCAAGAAAATAACGTTCTTGTTCTTCAAGTTCAAGATTCCATTTATTAACTAATTCTTCCAGTTGGTTGTAAGTAAGAGTCTGTGGAGGAGATATAACCGATGCAGCAGATGTAGTGGCTATAGATGGTACAGTAGTAGTCACTGTTGCTGTACCAGAGCATGTTGTTGTTGCTGTAGTTGCTGCCGTTGTGGTAGTTGTAGTTAGTGTCCCAGATAAGATTCCTTGTGAAGACACTCCGAATACAGAGGGAGCAGTTGACTTAGCCACTGCGGATGGATCGAACTTCCCGAAGCTGAAGGGAGTGGATATCGCTGCTCCTGCTGTTGTTGTTGTCGTTGTTGCTGTAGTTGCTGCTACGGGTAAAGTACTAAGGGATGTGCCAAAACCAAAGCTAAGACTTGTAGTTGCGGGTTGGCTGACAGAAGTGTTGGCCACCGAAACAGCAGAAGCACTAGTGGATAGATTACTTGTAGGAAATGTACCGAAGCTGAATGGAGCAGTGGTCACACTTTGTGAACTAACAGAAGCCACTGATCCTAAAGAGAATGGACTTCCAAAATTACTGGTCGTGGTAACGGGCTTCGCAATGGTTGATACAGGGTTTGCAGATAGTTGGCCGAAAGCAGGCTGGGTTGATGTGAGACTCGGGTTTGATGCAAAACCGGTGTTGGTCGAAAAACCAAAAGCAGATACTGGCGTAGACGGTTTTGCCAAACTAGAAAATGATGGCAGACTAAAAACACTCTGACTAGTTGCAGCAGACTGACTGACTCCTGTACCGAACCCCGACGCGGTGGTTAAAGACATAGATGAAGGGCTCTGAAAAAGTGAAGAGGTTGACACAGCATTGCTGAGGTTGGAGGTCACAGATGGGGAAAATAAAGAAGTTGTCGTAGTGCTAACTCCAAACAGTGGTTTTGTCCCAGCCGATGATCCGAAAGGTGATGAGCCAAATGAAAAGGAACTGGTAGTTGCGGGTTTTCCAAAAGAAAATCCTGTTAAGTGAAAAGTAATGATGACTGATATCAAATGTCGTAAATTCTTAATAAACAACTAAATTCTGCATGAATATTTGCCAAAAATAAGTTTACAGGTTGAGCATACATAATGCGATAGTAAAACACGGGCACTGTGGTAGAGCATAATTCCAAATTAGATAATTTGTGATATAGCACAGTGATACGGTATTACTTACTGGATGACCTTCCAAGCTGAATTTATGGCTCATATTCTGTCCTACTATATCGGAGAGGATATGAGAAAGCTTCTGGTGTTTGACCACAGTTGGCTTCGTAGCACAGGCCATATATATATCGTGGTGTCACCATGTCAGTAACGCAGAAGTCAAGTGCAGAGTCCTTGACTGTTGACCTCAGCCATATAGCGAGATGCAGACAAGCCGGTTGAGATCCATGTGACAACAAAAACCAGTGGTTGAAGACTCAAGGTGATATGGATCAGAATTGATGTCAGTGGCGCAGATGTATCCACACTTTATCTTCATTTTAGCCGCTATACTTAATCTCATCATTTTTTCATTCTTGTTCCCGCTATTTTACTTCTCACCGCTTATGACCGATTTTTTTTCCTTTATTTTCATCTAATTACTTTGTTGCTTGATTTGCTGATATGACGTAAGGGAACCTGGAGAATTATGGTGTTATACCTAGTCTTAGGTTGTTACTGACTGGTTGATATGGCTCATACTCATGCCATTTTGATATGAACATGGAAAATAAATTCTGCTCAAAATATCACCAAGTAAATAACACTATATTACTATGTGCTATATCAAATTCAATGTGGGATTGAGTATACATACCTCCTAAGTGAACCTACATCGAGTTGTGGCTCAGCTACTTACAGACGACTTCTAAATATTGGGTCGTTTTGAATTCGAACCTCAACAGATGATATCATTTTGTAAGTCGAGTGGTTTCCTGGCCTCTAACAACCTATTGTAGGAACCTGCACTTGGTTACTGAGTTGTACTTATGTTTCTAACGAGCCTGCTTAAGAATGGTGGAATGTGTCGATCACTTCACTTAGGGAATTGCATCAACCCGAATGGGCTGTTTGCTGACCAAATATCAGCTCGGATATAGAAAGCCCGTTCGGCATTTTCCGACTTCTGTCATCTATGGCTCCAACTGGCGAGATATCTGACTTCCCGTTAAATGACGAGTATACTGCGCTGCAATCCGTTCTCTTGTTATATGACTGTGAGATACCGTTAGAAAGAAGACGTAGTGGAAACGGGGTTTTGATCATAGGACTCTCTGTGGCACCACTAGCGTTTGGCGGAATCACCGTGTGAGCAATGTCGAGGTCGAGGGGGGGGGGTACTAAACAAGCTACGCCAGTCGATTGATGAGGTTGTGAACCTTCGGCGACTGAAATGGCTTGGACACGTACTGAGCATGCCAAGCCACTCACTATCTCAACGTGCTATACTAGAGGAAGTTGGATAAGGCTGGAAGAGAGTTTAGGGTGTCCAGACCGGTAATGGCACCAGTCGACGAAGTTTTTTACCATTGATCTGAGTCGTATAGGGAGATACAGAATGCATGGTCGGGGTCCCCGAGACAAAAGAAATCAGTGGCCGAGTGTTTTTGGTGAGATGACTGAAAATCGGTCATAGTAGCCTAATGTATTTACTTGAAGTCCTCAGAAGCCTGAATATTCATACCAATATTTATCTTTAGATTTTTTATTCTCTAACGCTACTTTACCTACTTTGATATTACTTATTCTATCCACCTGTTCTTTGTGCACTACTGCGAAGTGTGGCAACTTGAGCTAATGTACCTGTGTGCGATGTTGCACGTTGGTTCTGTCTGTCTTCTGTCTGGAGTATCATCTTACACGTGACAGGTGTGAAACGCGTGCCAGCTAAACGTATTCAGATTTCTGTTCAACACGTTCAGAAGGCCCTGCATTGTCAGCGTCTTCACCCAGCAGGACAATATTATCTGGGTACTCCGACTCAACTATATACCATCTAGGGAGCAGACCCATCCCCTGTGAAGTCAGAGGTACTAAGTTTACGTCCATTAATACATCACCAAAGTTGAAGAGGATTGGTCAGTGAACATCAGCGGCGAAAACCACTAGATTTTTCAATCCAGACGACGGTTCTCCAGCTATGACGACCGCGTTAGTTTGAGTACGCAGTCTTAATTGTCACTACGTACTTGTTCGGCACTCCCTTTACAGTCAAACACTGCCGTAACACCTCGTGGTCGAGAGTCAAATGCCTTAAGATTAAGAAATATATCAAGTGTTAGTCGTTGCCCGGTAATTATGTGTCCCAGAATCTGTCGGGGGGTGAAAATAAGGTCGATATAGCTTCACGTATGTCTGAAACCTCCCTGGCTTTCTTGAGTTTGTTCTCCAGTACGTTATATATTGGATAAATATGGACCTAAGGATTTTGTACCCGACGCTAGTCAAATTGATTCCGCTATCACAAGAAGACTTCTTCTCTACAAACTGGAGTGATGAAGGAAGTAGACCAGTCCAACGCGGATATCTGTGATTCGCATACGCTACTTAGTACCTCTGTTTACCCAATAATTTCCTACCTCCATCCTTGACAGCTTCTGGTGGCACATCTTGCTCCTTTGGGTCGTGTCAAGCTAGAAACAACCTTCTCAACTTTTGGTTAATTGACTATTGACTTCGATAATTAGAAGACTGACGTCTAGGTCGCATTCAGGTTAGAGTTGGATGCTGGAGAGCTGACGAGTTGCTATGTGGTAGTCTAACTATTTGAAAGTGTTCCCCCTTAATATTCAAGTTTTCCTATTCTTCTCAGTTTAGTCTCAGTAACCATTTTCCCACCGATATCCCTAATAAGCCTAAATAGTTGCCGCGTACTGTCTAATGATGATGTCTCCATCTCTCGCTATTCGCTATCTACCACTGGCTGCGATTATAGTTAAGACTCTTAGTTAACCTATGTTTGGACTGCTTCACTCTTCACTGTGGATAGTCAGTTGGAATGAGTCTCCATATCAGTCAGTTTCACTGTCTTTCGTGGACATTTGGATGTAGGCTACTAGGCGTCTTTACTGCTGTTTACGCAGCATACTGAACATCATACCAGGTTTCAACAGGAGGAGAATTACTGCTATGTTCATATAAATGCTTCAACAACCTTACTTTAGATTTGTGCTTGGTTTCTGATCTTCCAACCGATCACACCTTGATTTAATTGCCGCCTACGTTCAGCAAGGTGCAAGCACAACAGCCCATGCCAACGCATGATGAAAGTTCAATCACAAACTCCAGAAAGAGTGGCAATCCTTCAACAGTCCTTCCCAAAGACAGACAAAACCAACATATAGCCTCTCACACAAGTGCACCACATTAAGCTGCCACACTTCATAGTAGTATACAAAGAACAGAACAAGCGAATAGAAAGTGATATCAAAGTAGACAGGGTACCGTGAGACAATAAGCAATTTGACGATAAAGGTTAGTGTGAACATTCAAGCTTTAGAAGACATCAAGGAGTGGATAGATTTGTACCACTGTAACCGATTTTAAGCCATACTTTTTCAGCCATGGTTTATAGCAACATTTTTGTTCATCGTTGTTTTGATATCGCTGGACGAAAGATAGTTTCTTCATATGCCTAATGTTAGCCAGAGACAAGTAAGAGAGGACCACTGCTGTCGGTTTGTTCGAATGGCATACCGTAAACACTTCCCAGATGCCTCTTCTAGTTATTCCGCTTTTTAAGACCACCGCAAGCTGAAGTGGGACGGACACAATAACTCATTACTACTACCAAATGAATATACTACGCTAAAAAATGAAGACTAAGCGTATCGAAGCTTAAGTATTATGATTAAAATGTAGCAGCAACGCAAAGAAAATTGTTTACGGTTAGACGTAGAAACGCATAAAAATATGTGGTAGCTTAAGTTGGTGCCATTAGAAACCGCAGAAAGAGTTATAAACAAACGGGAATAAATGTTAGGATGATGCACGCATCCCCTAGTAAGCATTGAAAGCAATATATACACGTAAAACTGACCCTCATATTCCTTAGGGAATCATAGCGACGTCCAAACACGATAAAATTAAAGCGCTGAAACCCTATACAGCAACAGAAATTCTACACCCACAGATACCATATATGAACTGCTGCCACTTTAAGCTTTGGTGCATAAGTTCCTTCTGATAATTATGAAAATTACTAAACCTCTCTTCCCATTAGTGCTCTAACAAATAAGCAGAAGAACGCTTAACAACGAGATATCTCGACATCATAACATAATGGGCCTAGTGATCCGACTAGGAACTGCATGATCGACTACAGAGTACTTTGAAGCCTTTAAACGCGGCCCAATAAATAGATCAGATGCAATTTAAAATGTGTACAAATCTTAAAATACAAATATATATAAGCAATGTGGTCGTATTAACGAGACAGGACTAATGACAAATCTCAGGAAATCAAGTGAGATTTAACACCTCTGCAACGCTGTGCTTTTGGGATGCTTACTGAATTATCTACAACTCTTCAAGCCCAAAAATTCTAAACTCTGCAAAAGCGAATGGTGATCTGTAAAAGGCTTCAAGCACACACTTGTTCCAACATCATTGTCACACTTTCTTATGTCACTCTTAGATAATAAAATATTTACTCGTATTTCGTGACTCGAACATACTTCACAAATAGGCATTTGACAAATAAACAATCACAGCCAATGTACACAAACCTGACATGTTGAAACTTTTGAAATGATTTCCAGTTCAAAGGTCAATGAAAAAGGCATCCAGTTTTCAGTTAGTTATAAGGATAGTAGGCCAGTTGGCCTGTGTTAATCCTTGCATAAGATATCTCTATGAAGATCTAGTTTCTCCTTGAACGCGTTGACAGAAGGTGCTGATACCACTTGCTGAGGTAAGGTGTTCCAGACGTTGACAACACGATAGGAGAAACGCAGATTCACACTAAGTTGATTCGATCGTGGTATTAGAATTTTCTAATGATGCCCTCGGAGATAGTCAGTCCTAGCAAGGAGGAAAAGATAGGACATATAGTGCCAAAGTCATTATTAAGAATACGAAATGCCAGGATGAGATCACCCCGTCTTCTACTGTAAGACAGTGGGAATAAGTTTAGCTGATCTAGTCGTTCCTCAAAGGACATATTTGAAATGCCTGACACAAGCCTTAGTACTATCTTCTGAACACGCTGGAGTGCGTCAGCATCCTTTTTTAGGCATGGGCTGACAGCCTGAATGCAGTACTCTAAGTGAGGTCTAAAGTAAGTAGAGTAGAGTATTCTAAACATGTCCTGATCAAAACTTTGAAAGCTCTGCAGAGGGACTATAATATACGGAAGCCCTTTGCTGAAGCTGCATTACAGCTTGCCGAGGCTTTCAAGTCATGGCTAATGATGACACCCAAGTATTTTAGTTCAAGGACTGGAAGTAGTGGTGTACCACCGACGGAATACTGGAAACAATTGCTATGACCAATGTGCATTATTGTACTTTTGTTAGAATTGATTTCCAAGCACCAACGTTTGACCAACCTACTAGTTCATCTAAATCCGCCTGAAGTGCATACCTATCTGCATCACCGTATGGCTCTCCAAACCTCTACATCATCGGCAAACAACAGTACCGAAGAGTTGAGCATATTTGGCAATTCGTTGATATGTAACAAGAAAAGTAGTGGACCTAGGATTGTTCCTTGAGGAACTCACTCATCACAGGTCTCCACCCGGATAGTGACCCATTTACCCTTACTCTTTGTCTTCTATCGTATAAAAATCCTTAATCCAAGCTGCAATGAAGTACCGAACCCGAAGGAGGAGAGCTTTCCCAGTAATTTCACATACGACACTTTGTCGAATGCCTTGCTGAGGTCTACAAACACGGCATCTATTGGCCTTGTAATCAGGGGGCTGCAGCCCACTCCTCTCTTAGATAGGAGGTTAGTTAGACAGGAGTGCCTAGTACGAAAACCATGTTGCTGTGGTGCCAAAAGATTGCTTGATTCCACATGTTTAAGCACCCTGTCACGAATTATTTTTTCTAAAATCTTAACAACTATGCTAGTTAGACACTAAATGGCGACTACCGGTCTTGAAGACTGGGCTGATCATGGCAGCTTTCCAGTCTCTAGGGTGGCAAGTCTGAGTTAGGGACATATTGTAGAGATCCATGACTGGCTCAGCAATGATGTCTGCTAGCGAAGATAGAAGTCTGGGATGCAACTCATCGGGACTCATGGATTTTCCAGGTTTAAGATTAATGAGCAACTTTAGGACTCTTTCCTTTGTTGTGAACACGGTATCTATTAGTGGAACAGTGCCGACACCACTAACTAGCATTCCGTCGTCATGATCTACAGAGTAGACTTCACTAAGGTATTCAGATAGACATTCAGCTTTGGACTGGTTAGGTTCCGCCAGATTATCGGGCTTCTCATCTGTCTCCAGGAGGGAATTCCTCTTTTTATTTTAGTCCTCCTTCTGACGAATGCGACAGTCTTTTAGGACAATTTTGGCAATCCCTCGCAAGCTGCTTCTCGTACGACATTCGAAACCGTGTAATCAAAGTCTTGCAGAGATTACGGACTTTACCGTACTCAGCCTTAAATGTTTCCAGTCCAGTTTCTAGAAAAAAGTCCCATAAGACAGTCCAATAAGACAGACGTAGAACCCAAGGAACCACAGTTCACTGATTCTCCTCCTCCTCAACAGTCTCTTAATGTCTTTATTAAACCACGAAGGGCGATGTGAGGATCGTCGTGGAGTCGAACATGGAATAAATGGCGTCGTTACCTCTTCGAATAGAGTTCTAAACCTATTCCATGCATTCCCAATTGGTGAGTCCTTATCACGGTCCATTCCTGAAATATTTGCACGTCATACATTAGGTATGGGGGAGGCAGTGTTATAATCAAACTCATTAGTCCGAAATCCAAAAGTTAGTACTACATGGTCGCTGTTAGCTAAAGGAGGGAAGTGTCTTAGACACAGAATGCCTTCACATTGATGGGTTGAGACTAAATCTAATAACGATGGCATGTGTTCAAAATCGTAACGTGTTGCACATGTTACTTTTTGAGCTAAAGCAGATTCTAAGACCTTTAAAAGTAAGTCATTTTCGAAGGAACCACCTGGTGTTGAGACTTTTAGCCCCGTTTAGTTTATGTGTGAAGCATTCAGGTCCCAACTATTAGGCATCTGTCACTTCTACTCCAGTTAGCATATGGGTTAGTACGAAGTCATTTGCAAGGCAGGATGGACTGCGGTAAATGACCCCGATAGCACAGAAACCATGCTTTGACCTCAGCTCGCAACTGGCCACTTCACAGGTCCCGCATTCATGTGCTTCAAAGGTAACTAATCGTGCGTCGAAGTCATCCCGAACATATAGCAGTATGCCGCCACCTTTGCGACCCACAACCGTATCCGTCCGTACACAGTAATACCCTGCGTGGAGTGGCGTAAATTTAGATCCTTGATCAACCAGGTTTCAGTAAGGGCTACTACGTCAGGACCTAGCTCGCAGATTAGAGTCTCGAGGTCTGTCATTTACTTCTAATACTGCGAACGTTGGTGTAAATAACTTTCATTGTGTTGAAAGAGTTCCATAACCTACCCATATAGGTCTTCGAATCGGAAACCCACTATCTTAGATCATTTTCTCCATTAGCTTGTCCAGCCTTAAGTTCGGTAACAGCTTCTCTTCTTTTTATGCGGTCCTCGGGGGGCCAGTGAGGTTGGATGCAGACGTCCGAATTCCGTAGTTTGGATGCGTTACTCAAGAGTTCATCCACTTCATACTTGTTGCCTAAAACAACCTTTAAAATTCTCTTTTCATCAGGTTTTTCATTCTTTCTGTTACCTAGCCTAACTACTTTGGAGATGTGTACCCCTTTAGACTTTTCAGGCAGAATACATCTGATGGCCGACTCGACTAGTTGCGGGTCATGGCCGTGATGTATTGAAGCATCTTTGTCTGATGACTCTCAACATTCCATAGGATTAAACTGGGCGCTGGAGTGGAATCCTTGAGTCGTGTGTTGACGGTCTTTGAAACCTTCTCAATAGGTTTCATAAGCTTAGTATCTTCCGTGATAACCTTTGGTAGTCTCCTCGGATGCTTTTTTGGAGAAATACATGTAGATTCGTTGACCACTTTTATAGAGTCAACACTGTTACCAGAGATGCGGACTTTCGGTGAATCCTCAGGCATTATGGTCGGTGTACCATCTGCCCTTGGCCTTCTCTTGCCTCTAGTAGCTCCTGAACTGGTGTAATTTCACCAACTGGATCACCAGCATCCATTAGTCCACTGAGAGGTCCTGTGTCAGATATATTAACGATTACGCTTGCAGCGTCATCATCTGATACAGCATTGGAATGACAACTATCATTTCCACATGGCTGTTTTTTGGCAAGTAAATTTTCAACAGCTTCCTGAATGAGGATTGGTGACGGCCTGCAGCGGAAATCACATAACCAGGGAGAAGCTGGTTTGCTGCAATGCTTGTACACGGTTGGTGTCAATCCTGTACAACCTTTGCGGAGGCAACATCCACATGCATCACATTACTTGCCTTCATCCAATATCGAATATCTTTTTACTAGCTGGTGTAAACCAATTGATTTCTTCGCGCTCGCTTCTAGGTCTTGTGGAACGGTTCCAGGTCTTTGGTGGACTCCGATGCAGTAGGCCTACCCACTCGGCCGCTGTAGATCTGGTTAACCCAGAGGGCAGTTTGGTGTTGGTTAAATTTGTTGAATGTGTTGTTTGTTTTTTTCTTCTGAGGACTGTGGCGCAGATGGGTTCCTCAAGTGTCGTGCCAATAGACAATTGGACAGACTGGCTGTAAAAAGGAGATGAAAAATATGTGCAGAAAAATCAGGAAGAGAAAGGCAAAATGGAAAAAGAAAAGGAAGAAACAAAGATAGAAGATTAGGAAAAAGGAAACAACGTGGAGAAGGAAACGCTGGTAGGTTTATGGGGAGGGGTGATAGGGAGAGCTTTTGTCAAAGTTTGGGAATATAAAGTCAGAAGGAAGAAGGACAAATAGCATGGCAGGACGGATGGGAATATAGTAATTCCTTTGGTAGGAGACGATGACTGGAGGGGACGTCTATAGGGAGGTATAAGGTTGGGCCAAGTCCCAGTGATGGCGGTTGGAGCAGCTTGGAATATATATCAAGAACAGGTACACTGCCACTGTGACAGAAATGTTTCTTGACGATATTACGAATCAGTGCAGTGGCCATGCTTTTAGTTTTGGTATGTAGGTCCTACCTGTCCAAAACTAGGATTTCTAGGTAATGACAACTTCAAGAACATGCACCCTGACGAGAATCTGATACAGCTTGAAAGCATCAGAACAGATAGGAAGTTCTAAATAACCACAATGCTTCTCAATGGCCTCAGTGTGGGTGAGAAAGGAAAAACACCGTCAAGAAACGTGAGCGGCAGGAGCACAGTACGTACTATCTCGGTCTATGCCCCAGTGTCAATTGACCTACCTAACTGATGAAAAAGGCGGTTTGGCAGGGGAATAGTGCCGTACACTAAGGGAGTCATATATACCCCAAAACCATGCCGTTGTCACCAGACAGGCAAGCCCACTGCTCTAGGCTGTCACCACTTGGAGTTTCTACAGTCAGGCCAAAACAATCCAGAGACGTCCCCTTCTGTTGTGTTGTCCTAATGTGGCTAACACTTGAGACCGAAGACTAT